GTCATGTGTACTGTACAGGTATACCCCAAAAACTGAAATCCTGTTTACCGCCAATTCGCACCACCGACGATTACATATAGGGGAAATACCCTGCAAGTTCCGTTGATACCCTGGAGATCCGACGATTGGGAGAGCATGCCCTTCAAATTCGCGGGGTTAGGTTCTCAAAATGGCCGCAAATCACATTTTCTGACCAGGGGGGTACAAAGAAATGTATACTATTCCCTTTGTGTGTTTGCTTTTAGGGCAATTATTTCTTTTACCTGTATTGTATAAATGTGTGTGTGTGTGTGTAAACACATACAGATAAATAATAATGGAAAATCCTCTCATAATTAATCAGAAACAAATGTCGCATTAAAATGTCGAGTCTACCCTCAAGTCTACTCCATGCTTTATTAATAACAAATCATGGAGTAGACTGAGGGTAAACTCAACATTTTTAATACTACATTTGTTTCTGATTATTTGTGAGAGGATTTTCTCATTAATATTTATTTGTATGTGACACACACACACACATATACAATACAGGTAAAGGAAATTACTGTCTTGAGAACAAATGACTCCCTGTCCTAGCAGCGAAAATGCCGCCAACTTTAAAACTACCCACAGACATTCTTGGGTACATCCAGGGTGTCATCCACAAATAATTGAGGACCGCAAATTATCCGGGCATACTCTACTGTATTTTAGTATCCAACAATTTCATATAATTCATTTAAACTTACAGTACATAAAATATAGAGGAAAGACACTCATTAATAGGTACAGTGCTACAATTGCTATTTAACCATATATTTTTTGGCGTGCTACGACGCTCTGTCAGGCACGCTACGCTCTCACTCGCAGAGTGTCACACAGCGTCCCCAAGCGTTGCCAGTCTTTGTTAGGCTTCCACAGCATTCGTGTGTGTTTAACTGTTTTTGCTATTAATACTGTACGCTAACCTAACCATTTGAAATGGCTTCCAAGCGCCCATCAAATGCTCGTGATGCTAGTGTTGTGAAGAAGCAACGTAAGACCAATAGCCTTGCTACGAAAATGGAGGTTTTAACCCGTTTTGAGAATGTTGAACGTGCAGTGGACATTGGTGTTGCGCTAGGTCTAACTCCCCACAACATTGCATACTATACGGACCAGCAAGGACGAGATTAAGGCTAGTGCTGGAAGTGGCACTTCTCCAAGTGCAACAAAGACAAGTCGTGCTCGAAGTTCTGTGATTGAAAAGCTGGAGAAGATGCTGGCTATGTGGATGGAGGACCAGAATCAACGCAATGTCCCTATGAGCCTTATGGTTATCCAGCATAAAGCAAAATCCTTGTTTGACGACTTAAAGGCAGCAGAGGGTGAAGGATCAAAGGATGAGATTTTTATGGCCAGTCGAGGATGGTTTCAACGTTTTAAGCGCTGTTATATTTTCCATAACATTAAGATGACTGGTGAAGCTGCTAGTTCAGATACGGCTGCTGCCGAGATATTTCCGCCGGAGTTCAAAAGCATTATTGAGGAAGGAGGCTACTCAGCGAAGCAAGTCATCAATGTGGATGAGACTGGTGTCTTTTGGGAGAGGATGCCTGAAAGAACCTATATCTCCAAGGAAGAAAAACGAGCGCCAGGTTTTAAAGCAGCAAAGGACTGCTTGACGCTGCTGCCTGGCGCGATTGCTGCTGGCGACTTCAAGCTGAAGCCTATGCTAACTTCTCGCGCTGCCAACCCATGGGCCCTGAAAGGTTACTCTAAGGATCACCTTCCTGTTATCTACAAGGCAAATAAGAAAGCATGGATAACCAGCGCCATATTTAGCCAGTGGTTAACTGTGTATGCCGTTCCTGCACTGAAGGATTATTGTGCCAAGGAGAACCTGGACTTTCAAAATTCTTCTTGTCATTGACAATGCTCCAGTGCATCCTCCCAGTCTCAACGACTTACATGACAATGTTCGAGTTGTCTTCCTGCTTCCCAACACGACAGCACTGATGCAGCCTATGGACCAAGGCGTAATCACTGCATTCAAGGAGTATTATTTACGGCGTACCATGGACCAACTGCTCAAGGCTACTGACGGAGAAAATAAATCTATAATCCGAGAAAATAGGCGGGGCTTCAACATTCTTAATTCAATCGACAACATTGGCAAGGTATGGGAAGAAGTTTAAAAAATTTGCCTGAGTGGTGTATAGCGCAAGGTATGGCCCGAGTGTGTGTGAACAGTTTCACGGGATTCATGGACTTAATCTCATCTGTGAATAGCGATATCCTCAGCTTGGCTAGACAGGCAGACTTTCATGAGTTGGAATCTGAGGATATTGACTAAGTCCTGGCATCCCATACAGAAGAGCTTACTAATGATGATCTGAAACTGCTAACAGAACACAGTTCTGTTGAAGACGACGATGAAGAACCACAACGTTCGCTAACTACCAAAAGGATGGCAGAACCGTTCGACATGATCCCGCAAGGAATGCAAATCTTCACTGATGACGACCCAAACAGAGAAAGTAGCTCAAAGATTGTATGCAATATGGAGGAAACTCTAGTTGCTATAATGAGATCTACAAGGCCAAAAAGAAGAGGAGCACTAAGCAGTAAACTCTGGATTCTTTTTCGTCGCTGGAAGGCAGACACAGCATCTTCACAACAGGCTGCAAGCTAGGAGGAGCAATCAGCAGCTGAGGAGGAGAGCAAACAGCGAGAGGAGGAGCCACCCGCTGGGACTCAGTGACTCGCCACCCTCCTCCTCCTCTGCTCCACTACCCACCAAACACCTCCGTCCATCAGTGAGTACATTACAATATGATTTAGTTTATTTATATATACAGTAGAACGTCGATTTAAAGCGATTCAATTTAAAATTATTGATTTAAAGCGACACCCACAATTAAGGACAATGTTTTAATTTAAAGCGATCTTTCCTACTTTGCGCGAGTTAATCTGGCGCATCATATTTTAAAATTCGCGCCTAATGTTTCTCTTCCCACCCACTGAGTAACAACATGGTGCCTGTGTTTTGGTTGGTCAAACTCGCTATATCTATGGCTCTGACCCCTTGTTTACAAGCATGCTGGGCTTAATGGATGGTGGAAGGAGTGGGCTGTAATTTCATAATTTTTTTTTTTAGTATTGTGTGAACTTTTTGTGAAATTATTACTATGGCTGATAACAAGAGTGACAAAACAGTGAAACAAGGAAAATTTTCTTTGTATTGAGGATAAAGTGAACAAAATTTAACGTATTGAACATGGAGTACCCTGAGCGAAGATGTGCAGTGAATACAACAATGTTTGTGATGTCCTTATAGCTAAAGAAATTTTATTCAAATTTTATGCAGCCACAAAATAAAATAAAGGTCTAGTTAAACATAAAGCATTAAAGCACCATCCATGACATGTGTACGTAGTATTTCAAGATCTTGAGCGGAACTTCTGTACATATTTGAGTAAGTACAGTACAATATATATCTTTAATATTTGTGTTTGTTTGTACAGTATTGTATATTTAAAGTGTTCATATAGTACCGTAGGTTAAATTATTGTGTGTTCTTGTACGTATGTCCAGGTATCCAAACTATCATTGGTCCTGATGAGTTTGGATAAGAGGAATTGCATTGTATATCTGCAGTGAACCCTCGAAGATCCGAATCTGGTAAATCCGGACAAAAAAAATTGGGGTTCTGGGCTAAGGAGCCTCCCTAAGTAGCATTCCCAAAACAGAGCACAGAATATTTTAGACCGGTGGGTGCTAGTTGACCAGTCGGTCACGCTGGACACAGATGCCTGAGGAGGTGGAAAACAAATACAGTACTGTAGTTGTCAATTGTTGTTTGTGGGAATATTTCATTCACTCCATTAAGGATACAATGTTTCATATTATGTTATCGTAGGTATATGCATGGCTTTTATAATTTGTTTATCGCTGTGCCAATCACCGTTTTTAAATTAGACTAAAAGATGTGTATTTCTCCCATACGTATTTTGATCATTTGCCTGGTAACGGGTGTGGGTAAGGGGAGTGAGTCAAGTGAGTGCTAGTCGAGTGTCGTCTGCACTTAACTCTCCTCCCTCACTGCCATATTTCACTGGATTTACTGTTATTATTAGTGTTTACTGATATAATAATGCTTAATAGTAATTAATCATGGCAGTGTAGCCAGGTTAGACTTGTTACTGCAACCACCAGGCTACTGGGCCAAACTGTGAGGTGTTATGGTTGTTTTCAATTCATATTTTTGGGTAGATATACATAACTTTCTTCATTTATTTTTACTCATTTACATGCACACACCATCCTAAATACATATTGTGAAAAAAGTAAAAGAAATAATTGTCCTAAGGGCAAACCTGTACCTAAATGTACCAAGTTAATTACTAAAAAATTTGTCGAGAGCAAATGATGGGATGTTTGTACTCAAATAAAGTATTATCTTGTAAGAATTCCAGCAATCTAAGTTATATTCTGCTAAGTCAATTCAGTGACATTTTATAAGTGAAAAACTTAAACTCCCTCTATTTGACTGATAACTACGCACTTCGTAATCACCCTGCCTGGATGTTAACACCTCACCTCACCTCCTCCTCCCAGTCAGGGTGAAGGTAGTTTCAGGCTTAAAATTTTTCTCTTATAAAATGTCACTGATTTTACTTAGCAGAATATAACTTGCATTGCAGGAATCCTTGCAAGATAGTGATTAATTTGAGTATAAACATCACATAGTTTGCACAAGAGATAATTTTTTTTAGTCCTTTAGCATAGCACATTTTAGTACAAAGTGAGTACAGTAATATGTTGCTCAAAATTATGGCTTTTTCACAGGAAAAAGTCTGTATAACTAACCCCAGTGGTCAGGATATTAGGTATTGTATTTTTGGTTTTTTATATAATTATTTATTGTTTTTATACATTTAGTACTTTCACCAGAAGATTCGGACAATCAGCTTTTTCAGACTGGTGGTCCCCTCTTTCAGTCCAGATCTTTGAGGGTTCAATGTATATGGACACCATACTGTAAAAAAAATTTTATGTCATAAATAGTTCCAATACAGTGTAACTGCATACCTTTAAATATTTTACACAAAATAAGTTTGTAAAAGATGAGTTCTGCCAGTTTATTGGACACAATGTTACTGGATTGGAGCTGGAGTGGGAACAGCCATAAGTGGGGAGTCCATCTCATTCATGGGTGCTGGTTGATTCTGCACATCTTGGAACTCCTGCACTCTTGCTTGGAACTTCTCGTAAAGTGTCTGGATTGCTTCTCCCTAATAATGATAAAAATAAATGATTATAATGTGAATGCTTTGATAAGTATGGTAACATAATCAGGAAAAGGACAATAGATTGGATCTGAATGGGAAAGTTTCAATTTCAATGGGGACCCAAGTGCTGGAGCACCCAAAAACAAATTTCTGCTACCTGAATGAGATACATAAATGGAATATGAACAGACTTCTTCCCAAGTGCTGGCTAACTATGACTACTTGATCAAGCTGGGTGTCAACATCACTATCAACACTTAGGCTCAGTGACTGATCAAACAAAACCAATGATACCTCAATGACTGTGAGCATTCAAGGGGGATTTATGAGCACCCAGTAAACCTCCCCTTCTACTGGTAAGCTAAGAATCCTAACCACATGTGATTGGCCAAAATTTCTGTGTGGGAACAAAATTTGTCTTATAACAAGTGGATTAGTGATGCTGCCATATTTTGTAGCTTTTTCTATTTTTTGGATATCTGCTCTTAAGCTGGGCAGCTCGTGTAATGCAAGGTGCCTCACAAGGGGTTTTTGAGACCTTGAATAGGAATCCCATGTCAGCCTGGGTTAATAGATTAATTAAACTGTACAACAAAGAAATACCTGTATATACAAACTAATAATATTAATTTTTATGCTTTTTAAGGTGTACATATTGAAACATTTCAGTTTTTGTATATCACACACAGTTAATTTTGTATTTTGGAAGTGAATACAGGTACTGTATAATATACTAGACCATTAATATACTGTCCACAGTTTCGGAACCACCCTTTAAAAACATGGGTTGGAGTCTCAAATTTAACAGTCGGCCTTGGGAAGCTGTTCCATCTTCTTAACCACCCCTACCCCCAATTCCACACACACCCTTGACAGTGGAGTTGCCTGGCATTTACCTACATGCTTCCTCTGGGTCAGGTGGTTTGCACTTGTAGTGCCTATAAGGATATTCTTTGTCAACGAAGGTGAAGAAAGAGTTGATATCCCTCAATATGGCACGTTTCAGGAACAATTTGCCAAACTTCACATATGGCAACGACGTTGGCAGCGACTGATTGGACTGTGGTTGCCAGTTTTCAAATTTATTAGCTAAGGAAGTGACATTGGAGAGCAGTAAAGACGGGAGACCATACCATATTTTTGGAACTTCAGTGTAATGGTACGGTCTGTCAGGAGTAGGTTTCTCTGGTTTTCTAGTGGAGGTGATGATCCTGATGGGCTTTTGTTTATGACGTTCTTGTCTACAGCTGCGAATATGTTCAGTGACTTAGGTCCCGCGATAACACTGTCATCAGGATAATCATTCACATGCTTTAGAAGGTACAAGGAGCGTCTGGAGTAAGTAATTGGTGGACATCTGTTGATATCTGTTGTTGTGGACAGACGGAAGTGTTTGTCGGCGGTGGCCAAAAACTCATGGCAGCGTTTTGAAGGCCACTGACATTGGTAGACATCTGTTAATATTTGTCTAGTCGTAAACACAGCGAGTCCTTGTCTCTAGCACTTAAGGGTCGCCAACACAGTACCCACGGTATATGTAAACACCACAGTGGTCCTTGTCACTGGCACTTTGAAGGTGACTGACAAAGTGCCCACAGTCTGATGTTACACTGCTGTGTTTTTGTGTTTTCCTTGGAATAATACATTATTGGATCACTGTTTGGTAACCAATCATTGCACTGATCACTTGAATGCTTTGCTAATAAATCCAGGTGTAGTGAGGTTGGTAGGGAATTGGGATATAACAAAGGTGTGGGGGGGGGGGTGGGCAAAAAGACTTGGCCTGGCTGCCAATCAGGAGTGCCTATAGAACACGGCATGTGGACACGTCCTCTACCAACCATTGCCTCGCTGTCTTGTGGATTAACCTTGGTAGGTACAAGGCTGCAGGGGTAAACCCCAAACGAAAAATCTGCAGCGGAGCCACCCATCAGGCAGACATGCTTACAGAGTTCCAGTAAGACCCCGACGGTGGTATACGGGAACCCAACGACTACACTGATGGACGAAGGCAATGCAAGATGGACAGGCGTAAGAAAAATACGCATAAGTTGCGCGTCTACCGTTTTCTGTATTAATCAAACTACATAATACAATTCAACAGTTCTATGCATTTTCTGCCCCCAGGATATATAGACATCTTCCTTTTTGAAAATATACCCAGTAATATCTTTTATGATAATTTTGTAGCATAATGTAAGATGCACAGAAGTAATGAAATATGGTCAGAGGTAAGCAAGACAAAATGACCCCTACAGAAGTAGTGGGAACATAAGATGATAATAACCCATTGTTGTTGTTGGAATATGACTAATGGATAAAACTGAACTATTGGAAGGCTTTACTTCTCTTGACAAATTTGTGAAGTGGCAGAGAAATAACATAAGGAGAAGTAAATTCACAGGAATCTTGTAAGCTTTTGGAAGTAGTATCTTGTTACTATATACTGTAAGTACAGGGTATACATATTTGTGAAAACAAAACAAAATCAACACTAAGATAACTTACCTGATGTGGTCCTGGTTGAAGAACTTTCTGGAGTGTATCAAGGCGTGCAGGTGGAAGTTTAGGATGAATGTACCACACAAGTTTCATTACATGTCGCATAACATTCTCCCGACTAATGTTTGTGAAGAAAAATTCATCAAATACCACTGTACAAAAGTCTTCAGTTGTGAAATCATCTGCCATTGGGATCAAGGCTGCCACCTGGAATATATACCACAACTGAAATTTTGCCACATATCACTCTGTGAGCAAAGCTTCATTTTATCTTGATCACTTACTTTCCTTCTCTTTCAATTTAATGTTGTGATAATAATCCAATTTTTCCTTCTATTAATTATAACCTTTTAAGTGCAGAGTTGAATATTTAAATACAATTTGTGATTCTCATCAGTAAAAGGTCCCAATTTATACCAAAAAATCCATAATTTATACAGTATACGGTACTGTAGAATTTTTTGTATTGCATTTTCTTTCACCTGTGAATATTATTTCAAAACTACACAAAATTTATTAAAATTTGTCAAACAATATTAGAAATAAGCATCCAGGTAAACAACTAATAAAGCAGAGAAATATGAAAATTAATATGTAATCAATTGTACACAAAGGAAACACAAACCAGCGAATGAAGAAATGTGTCCTGAAATGCTCTGTCTTGGTGACAGGTAGCAAGAGTTCCCAACACACGCATGAGAGCCGTCTTGTCCTTGCGGGTGGCAGTGTGAAGCGTATAGTACATGGCTAATATACAGGCTACACTACTCTCCTGGAGGTAAGCCTGGTAGGCATCAGGAGGAGGACCTGTATGAAATGCGAGTCAGTATAAATTTTCCAACAGTGAATAGGAGCTAATAAATACCCTAACTCTGTATTGTAGCATAAAAATCTCTATTTCTTCCTGACCATAAACCTCCAGGACATCAAGGTGCTGACTTTAATACAGTAGAGTAAGTCGTCAATACATGCTAGTTCAGCATATGCGAAGGCCCTATTCCTACCAGGAATTCAATTAGTGCGAGTAAAATTCAGCCTTATGCAAGATGTCATACTCTCTGATATGGATTCCAACCCTAATGACTCTGCATATGTCACTCCAACACCATCACCCACTATGCAAAACCTCTACCACCACCATCTCCATCACCTCATCTACCCAAGTTGATGTATCTGTTTTTGTTGTTTAGTACACTGTACTGTACTCTTGCTTTATCTATTACAGTATTTTAAAAATTATATTGTAGAGATTTGTTTTATGGTTTATTTGTCTTGAAAATGTGTCTCGAACATTTTCATTTTGGGTTATGAAACTCAACCTATTTTTTTCCATTTAACTAAGTATTCAATGTATGCGATTTCGATTTATGCGAGTGTTTTCAGGAACACATCCCCTCATATATCGAGGACTTACTGTATTACCTAAACTTAAAATGTAGTCAAGGTTTCCTGGGAAATAACAGAAACTATGGTAAAAGTCGGACCATTTGTGTGTGTGACAACACAAATATAAATACTACTTACCTCATTATATCAACAAAAAATGCACAAGGTAAACATTTTGTGTAAATGATTTACACTTTTTTGTATTTTGTCAGTGGAGAGGAATTTAATATCCACCTGCCATGTCCACCATAAAAACTCAAGATGCCTGTAGGTTTGATTAGGTAGTTTAGTTTGGTTCATTTTATAAATGATAAATTATCAATGATACCTCTTAACAGCTGCTAACATTCATGATGTCCCAGATATTGCTACATTCTATAATTTATGATTCATAAATTGAACCAAACTAACCTACCTACCAATCCTAACCGAATTTAATATAACCTAACCACCCCCATAATTTATAAGATACAGCACACATTTAAGGGCCATTGTGCTGGCATGTAATCACCGAGAAGATAATATGGTGAAAGTCAGTTGGTGGTGTTGCCCGCATCTGTTAATTGAAGTTGAAAAATACTAAAATTTATATCATGCAAACGTATTGATCAAACATTTTCCACCAATTTCAAGAGATAAGAAAGCATATACTGTACAGGTATAGACCCTCAAATCCAGCACCCTTGGGACCAAGACCGTGCTGGTTTTGAGGATTTTCCTGTATTCTGGGTCCTAGGTCATCCTTGTTACCCAAGGGTCCTATGCCTACTACTGTAGTATACTACAGGTGTAGACTCCTGCTTCCAAACATTCTCACACAAACTTAGTTGAATGTGTTTTTTTTTAATCTTAACAAAACAAAGAAAAGATAATTTTACAGTATGTATACTTTAAATTAAAAAATGGTAATCATGTATTTATTGGATGTAAAATCACAAACACCATTGTTGATATTCAGTGAAACTGGAAACTTTCCTAAGTATCAGATACTGCTACATTATATAATTTAGCATTCATAATATTAACCAAACTAACTTACCTAACCTAATCTAACATAACCAAACCGAAATAATATAATATTTTGGTATGGTAGTTTCGTGAGTTTTATGGTCAATAAAATGTACAGATATCTACACTACTATTTATTCTCTATATACTTTTATACTTCATCTGTTATGCTATCTCTTTCACAAAACATCTGCTACCACATACAGGTACACTATTCTTTTCAAGAAAGTAGCAGAGTAGAGTTTAATATGACCAATATTAATTTCAAAGGCTATGTGAAAACACTATTAATATCCTATTAATAAAATAAATATAAATCAAAGATAATCATGATACTGTATAGGCTATTTAAGACTTCTTGCAAACGTTTTCACACAGGAGAAGCTGCTGAGAGTCAGATATAAACAAACTCAAGATACTACAGTGCCTACCTATGCAACTCAATTTAGAGAAAAAAATATATTTAATGGTTTTTAAAAAATCTAAAATAGGTACACACTGATGTTTTTTATATTTTGTTCCTTACGAAGTAAAACAAGTGTTCAATTGAGTTTGTGTGTGAGTGGAAGCAAAACTTAACACAGTCAGGGAAGAAAATGTCCAGTTTTAGGGAATCTCCAGTTTCCTAATCCCCATGCCCCGGGCTAGGATGGTGCTAGCCGTACCCCCCACACGGAGTAAAAAGGGGAAAATAAATTTTTCCAAAAATAAATTTTAACCTTTATAATTGATAAAACAATGAAAAAGACATAAGAAAAACTGGTCATAAGTCGAAAATGCTTAAATAATACATAGAAAATCTAAAATGGGTGTCTCTTTTTCTTCGCAGCACAAAAAAAAACAACTCACTTTTAAGCTTCCCAGCCATTTTAAAGTGAATTACAAACGAAAATTTTGTCAGTGCACAGCGCAGTCACTAACGTTGGGACCCGAAAATACGTAATTTGACAAAATTTTGGTACGACTGAGGCGGTCGTATGTCAGGGTGGTCATAGGTCGAGTATGTTGTAAGTCGAGGAGTAGCTGTATTACTTTGATACAACATGATAAAAAGGACAAACACCGGTAAATAAACAAACAAAAGAAGGTACTTACCAAGAAGCTTCCCTCTGACCGCGTGTAGATAAGTGAGGTGAGTGACCTTGAAATGTCTAGAGCAGGGTGTAGTGTGTGTGTGTAAAAGAGATCCATCTTGTCTTTACTGTATAATGAACTACAGTACCTTATGCTGCTATCTCCTAGTGACACAACAATTTGTGAGCAAGTGTAAATAAGGCATACATTTTTAATCTTAAAATTACAGATCTTTAAAATTTAAAATGAAGTAAGTACTTGCCAGAGTGTTCAATAATGGTGATGGCAGATTCTCTTTCATCCAGTGGTAACTTTGCATTAAATCTTCTCACATCATCATCCACCATAAGGGACACAAGAGCTGGTAAAAATTTTGTTACAATTTGAGGGTCCAGCTTAGGCTCACGAAACAGCTGTAAAATGATAACATTTGATTACCATATTCTGTATACTTAAGTACAGGTTGAGTTTCTATTATCCAGTTTTTATGCAAAAAGTAGGGGGTTGAACAACGGCATATACACAATACATTTTTGAAGGGTTAAAATTCATGCATTTCCGTAGATCATTTACAGTGAACGATAGCTACCAGTAATATCCTTTATCCTGGGCTTGCTTACCATACCCCTAGATTCTTTCTTTATGTTCCTGCTTGAAAAGCAGAACCCCATTCAATACATATATGCCACTTCTAATCTATAAATACTTGATAGAAATGAAGATTTACAGATAATTTTCCTTTCATTTGCATCTTTTAACATCACTGGCAGCATTGCTACTAAGTTAGACTCTTCACCAGCCACATCCTTGTAGCCCTCTTGCTACCAGGCAGAGCTGTGAGGTATTATTTTTTCAACTTGTAACTTCGGGTAGCTATACAGTGGACCCTCCATTAACGAGCTGTTTAATCTATGAGATTTCAGTTAATGAGTTACCTCACGTAAGGATTTTCAGTTCTATTAATGAATACGAATTCCATTAACGGCAGCCTTACGAGAAACACGTTTTAGTGAGCATCAGCTGATCGACTCGTCCGCCAATAATATACAGTCTCTCCTTGACTTACGACATACTCGACTTACGACAACCTGGAAATACAACCGCCGTGGTCGTATAAAATATTTTTCACATTAAGTATTTTCGAGTCCCGAAATGTTTTGTTGTAATGTGACTCCGTACAACAACGTGGGCAAGGCCGCCTCGTGGTGTACAGCATCCACGCCGTAGCCTGCTCAGCTGGTGTTTGGCCGTCCTTGTTGTTGTTAGTGATCGCGCTGTGTACTGACAAAATTTTTGTTTCTAATTCCCTTCAAAATGGCTGGCAAGTGTAAAAGTGAGAGTTCTCGTGGTGCTGAGAAGAAAAACAGCAGCAACCATTTCACGCGACCTTGGCTTCTCTCACGCGACGATATTAACAATTTTGAAGAACAAGGAACGAATTCGTAAGGTAGTGAACGGATCAGCACCTATAAAGGGAACAATAATAACGAAAAAAAAGACAAGGTCCTCTTCATGAGATGGAAAAATTACTTGTGATGTGGATGGAAGATCAGCTGCAAAAGCATGTACCCTTAAGCCTTCTAACCATACAGGCTAAGGCAAGAAGCCTTTTCGAAAGCCTGAAAGAGCAGGCAAGAGATTAGTGCGACCAAAACTTCACAGCAAGTCATGGGTGGTTCCAAAGGTTTAAGAAACGTTACAGTTTGCACAGTGTAAAGGTGAGTGGAGAGGCAGCAAGTGCCGATGTTGGTGCTGCCGAAGCTTTTAAGGAGGAGTTAGATCGTGTCATCGTGGAGGGAAATTATTTGCCTGAGCAAATATTTAAGGTGCATGAAGCTGACTTATACTGGAAGCATATGCCAGAACAGACATACATCCACAAAGAGGCAAAAACCATGACGGGGTTCAAGGCATTCAAGGACCGGAATCGCACTTCTGCTGGGGGGGATGTAGCTGGTTTCAAGGTAAAACCTTTCATGATATATCATTCAGAGAACCCAAGGGCTTTTAAAAATGTCAACAAGCACACACTGCCAGTGTTTTATCGCAGTAATAAGAAAGCATGGATGACCCTAGCACTGTTTGAGGATTGGTTCCTAAGTCGTTTCATTCCACGAGCCAAGGAGTATTGTCTGCAACAAGGGGTTGCGTTCAAGAATTTTTAATTTTAGATAATGCTCCGGGACATCCACCACACCTGGACAACCTGTACCCTGATGTTAAGGTAGTCTACCTTCCACCTAACACTACCTCTATCATCCAACCCATGGATCAAGGTGCTATTGCTGCTTTTAAATCACATTATTTATGTACAGTGAGTTCTGCTATAACGCGTGTTTTGATAACGCGAATTTGCTCTAACGCGATTTATGAATTCGGAACAATATTTGTATAACGCGATCGCTTGTTTGCTATAACGCGATTTTTGCTTACTATTTCTCCAATTTTGTGGTATTAACTGTGAATATGGTAAAGAAGAATATCTCCAAAAAGCATTCTGATGATAGAATTCCCGGTGATTATCGTAAAAGAAAGGATATAACACTTGAAGAGAAGCTTGATGTTATCAACCTCAAAATCACCCTTCTCCCACATCAAGTTACATTCATATTTTTTCAAGGTAAAGTGTTAAATTTACTGTATGATTTCATTATTAGATATGAATGTAACATTTATTTAGACTGTGCTATCCTTTGTGTTAGGCTAACTACTAAATTTTTTCGATTTCGAGTAATCTGCACCTAACCCTATTTTCTCCATAAGCCCTGTTATTTCTATTACGCGATTTTCTATAACACGATATTTTACAAGAACACAATTATCGCGTTATAGCAGAACTACCTGTACGACCTTCGCTCAGGCTATTGCTGCTACTGAAGGTAAGAAAATGCTCAGAGAGTTTTGTAAGGACTACAACATTTTGCAAAGTACAAAGAACATAGCTGCAGCATGGGATGAGGTTACAGGTCAGTGCATGAATGGAATATGGAAGAAGGTCCTGAAAAGATACGGTATGTAAACAGTTTCAAAGGATTTAATGAAGATGAAGCAATTTCTGAGATTAGTAACAAGATAGTGCAGATGGATCAACAGCTGGAGTTAGAAATTGATAATGAAGATGTTGAGCAGTTGGTGGAAAGTGTAGCAGAAGAGCTAAGTCACAAGGATCTTTTTGAACTGGATGCACAGAAAATTGCAGAGGAAGAAGAGAGACAAAATGTAGAAGAAGAACCTGCACCCCCCAAAAAGTTTTCAGTGAAATAAATGGCAGAGGCATTTGCTACAATTAATAAGGGGATGCAAATGTTTGAAGAAATGGATCAAAATGTTCAGCATTTTACAAAAGTTGACAGACAGATCCAAGATGAACTTGCTTGCTACAGGGAGATGTACAATGAAAAGAAAAGGCAAACTGTGCAGTCTAAATTGGACATATTTTTTAAAAAGTCCCCCACTGCTGTCTCCTCACACCCCACCACTGCTGCCTCTTCACTCCCTAAAGATGATCCAATACCTTCAACAAACAAGTATGTTAGCCTGTCTGAAGAAAGGGAACTTGATGACCCACCCAGCCCTGTCTCATCCTCTGCTTCATCCAATTAATGTAGTCTACATGCTTAATTAAAACATTATTGAGGCCCCGTGTGCATTCAGCTGAATACATTAAAGGTAAGTGCACATTGCTTTATTCATTTTTCATTATTGATTACTTTTACTGTACCGTATTTCATTTTAGATTTTCTATGTATTAGTTTCGCTTTTTCGACTTATGACCAATTCGACTTACGGCCTGGTCGTCGGTCCCTAACCCCGTCGTAAGTCGAGGACTGACTGTACTGTAATGTACTTCCTAATGGCCTATGAGCGAGTTGCTTCATTGTCCAATTTAACCTCATTTACTGTCATGTATTGTGTAAATAAAAGAATAACATTTTACAATCTAAAATTTCATATTTAGAATTAACAAATATTTTGTAAAACACATTATTTTGAACAGTAGATTTTCAGTTGACAGATACTGTATTGTACTAAGGCCATAATGATCAACTCTAAATATACTGTACATCCTACCTGACTTTCAATCATGTCCCAGCTGTGTAATCCTAATGCCAACATCCGCAGCATCAACACCAATACAGAATTCTCCTGAAAAGCAACATTGTATGAACTACCATCAGAATGAACACTAACCAAATTGAATGTTTTTTTTAATTATGTATTCTTTAAATGCTCTTTTTTAAAATGTAGCTATAAGGCACAGATTAGGCTCCTCAAGATGCCCCATCTAAGAGACATCTTTTCACAATATAGTATTATACAGTAATGACAACTTTCATATACAGATGCTGACAATACACAAAAGAGATATTAATACAGTATGTGGCAAGACTGCAAGTTGTTTCAGTAAATATGCTGAAATTACTCAACAGAATGTTATTTTTAGAGTGCACAAAATGAGGGAGTAATCCTGAAATCCTGCTTGATAACTAAGAAAGGATTAGATGACTATAGTCTGTTTACTCAAACCTTGCAACTGAGGTCTAGGGTCAGTTTCCAGAAAAGTCACTACAGTTCTTTAGTATTAATCTGTTGTGTTTATATTCTGATATTTTAAGTGACAACTATTCTGTGTTGATCTCTGGTATTTTCCACACTTGGGGAAAAATACATTATTACAGTAGAACTGTAGTGGACCCCATCTCCTACAAGTGACGACTGAGCTCCCTCACACCTACCAGCCAATCAGCGTACAGCCAGCGATGCTGGTAAACCTACTCTCCAGTGCAGATGCACACGTAGCAACGCTAGGACCAGAGTGCCAGGGATTCCTGGCCTCCTCCTCTGTGATTGGCTCTCATGTTACGCACACCCCAAATCCTGATGTTTCTGAATTGTATAAATACGGCCGTGGCTGGCCAGGGAGACCATTCTACTCTGACCTACTGGACCAGCAAGACTTCTCCACAGCGCCTCACCAACCAGCTCCCTCAGAAAGCTCCTCGCCCTACAGGACCTCTGAGCAAGCTACTCATCACCTAGTAATTCCTTAGCACTGCACTGTACATGTACAACAACACATATACAGAAAACGCATTGCGAGTTTCTATTCTACCTCAATCCTGAGTGTGAGATATCTTACATGTACGTACGTTTGTGAGCCCATACAAAGAGGTAATAGACAACCAAAGAAAATTGACAACTGGCCACATACAGTATGCCACAGTATTATGCATCTGCATTAACCCTGGATTATTCATTAATCATTTGTCTAAGTGTGCAAATAGCCAAACTGAGACATTATATAACACTCAAAGGTAGTAGATAGCATTTTTAAGAAGTTATCTTCATATCAAATACTATACAGTGACCTATAGTGACCCCTGCTGTAAACCGGTCGTTTGCTGAAAGCTGTCACGCGAACGCATCTTGAGTAAACAACCTTCTGATACAGCTTATCCTTTTATTTTCAAGTCATATTAAAAATTACATAGAGTACTGTATTTTTTCTCTATTACTGAAGATGTTATATGAATCATGATGAGCCATAAACCATAAGAGGCCAATTATATGAGAATATAATACTGAATCAATAAATAAATAAACCTGATGAATGCGGCAACACTGGATCAGCCCCCTGCATACATACTGAAGTGTCTTAGTTCTCAGTTGGCTTATTGCAAATCTGATTAGACTGCTGTACAGTATTCAGTAAGTGTTGTTCATTTCATAAGATCTTTTATTGAATCTTCCCCCATTTCTTAAAAACTTTTTTTTTGTATTTCTCAGTCCGAAAAAAGCGAATTTCTATATAATGAAGTCAGATTTATCAAGGTTTTACTGCATGCAAAACACTCTGCCGTAAAATATAAAAAGAAGCAATTATCTGCCAAAAAATATGGAGCCAACTGAGAAACATCCAAACAGCAAAGGTGAGTGTGGTCTGAAAGTCCATTGTGACAGTACATGTACTGTTTTATGATCTGCTTGGATTGTGGAACACATATACTGTACTAAAGTTTGGTTACAAAAGACCCTTAGCTCCTAACCTCAGATAACTGTCACTGGTGTTATCCTCTTTTTAGGGGCTGTGGTTGAGTTATCTGTAATTTTCTAGTTCCTCACTGGATTTCTCAACTATAACCCAGTCACAAAAGTGTAGAGATCCTAGGAACCATGAGGCATCAGTGATGCAGTACATATGTTATACATAGATAAACTTGTATTGTGGATTACATTACAACTTCTTAAAAGCTAAAATTTTAATTGCTTACCCTTGGCATGAGTTCATTATTCATAAGATGTTGTAACAACCGTATGACAGAATTGGCCAAGAAGTTGATAGCATAGGGATCACACAAAATCATTGATAGATCCCCTAAAACTTGCTCCTGCCCACGCCTGATACTGTCCAAGAATCCTTGTAGCTCCCGAGACCTTGAAAATGCAAGTACAGTAGATTATATTCTTTACGCTATACTTAGAAAGGGAAATTGTGATGTACAGCTACTGTAGTCCTCTATTTACAATGTACTGTATAATGCTTGCCAAGCCCATACATGTTATGTTACAAAATTATATAAAATGTAATGCTTTATTTAACATAATCAAACAGATAATTAAATTACTAGCTTATTGTACAGCCTATATCCCCCACCTTAACAATACGCCACCAAGTTGAACAGTACTATAGGTATCCCTCGTTTAATGATGGGGTTGCATTCCTGAAAAACCTAATATTACAGTAAACAAAATTATTGCTAGATGAGCATAAGTGGGGGTGCGGCTTACTATCAGATACAAATTTTAGTAAAGCCTCAAAAATGCCCGTAAACATTACCTTGTGCATTCTAGCACCAGCACCATTACTACCTCACCCTAAGTCAAAATTACTATTACTATAACCACTATTATCATCACTCTCCATGTTTTCTACCCGTGAATTTGTTTACAAGAATGAAAGTTCAGCAAACCGTACCTACTGTGTCCAAAGCCTTTAAATTACTAATACAGGACAACATTAAATCATTTACTGATATTAACTTGACCATAATTGTTTATTTGTTTATCATAATAAATAGAGTTTCTTATTTGTATTGTAGATTTAAGAGGGTAAATTTGAATATACGTTCCCATTATTGAGGCCTACAAAGCGAACTGGCACTTATTATATATCATTCTAATATCCAAATTTTATGTACCGTATATCACGGCCTATAAGGCGGCGGGGTGCATAAGACGCCCCCCCCAAATTTCCATTTAAAAAGTAGCTTTTGAGCTCTATTTGCTGTATAAGACCAGTACCCCAAATGTGACACTTACCCACTGACTCAGTAGTCCTTTACCAACCATCCTTGATTTTTTAAAATAAGGCCAATTCACTTCAAGTAATGTCATCAAATTATACCCGCTGGTGTAGTGTAAACACTAGTGACGTCACTGAAGCGTGTTGGGAGTGTTCCCTCGTCTCGGTGGTGTGACTATTTATACAACATGTGGTTCAACAGCAACCACCGTATTCTAATTGTGGTGTTTCATTAGGATTTGAGTGAAAAAGGTTACCAGTATGTACTTACTACATACATTTATTACACAAATATATATATATATATATATATATATATATATATATATATATATATATATATATATATATATATATATATATATATATATATATATATATATATATATATATATATATATATATATATATATATATATATATATATATATATATATACTGAATATACTATGTACAAAAAATGAATGTTCAATGAATTATTTATGGTGCATTAGGGTACTGGTCACTTCTGATGGGCTATAAATAGCCTTCTTTATCTCCCCTACATCTCACCCTGAGCCAGACGGAAGGGTCTTGGTAAATAACATGTTTGCTTATTTTCCATTTACTTTAAATAGATTTACCGAATTATTTGTTTTATTTATTTATTTATAATATACTGTAATATATTAAACACACTGTAATTATTTTCTTTAATTTATAAACTGTTTTGCGACAAAGGAATGTTCTCCAGTAGTGTTTCATTAGGATTTGAGTGAAAAAATATTACGTACTTACACAATTGTTCCTCTTACTTTGACAACACAACATACATACAGTATATTATTTCTCAGTTTTGATCTTTTTTTTTAATTTTTGTATTTATTTATAGTTAGTTACTTAAAATAAGGCCAATTCACTTCAAGTAATGGCATCAAATATTACCAGCTGGTGTAGTGTAAACACTAGTGACGTCACTTGAGCGTCTGTAATTAACCGTCGATAGTTTCAAGAATTAATGCACTCATTTACTGAATATTCTTTGGAAAAAAATAAAATTTAAATCAATTATTTATAGGAGATAAATATTATTATGAGTAAATATACCGATACCGGTATGCATTACTGACCACCTCCACGGCTCCTCACTGGCAAATGGGGGGGGGGGCGTGGGGAGGGGTGTGTGATGATAGCTGTGTTTATTATAGGGGTATAAATCTCTTTTACGGTATGTTAGACAGGTTTATAATACATTTTTATTATTTTAATATACCGGTAATCTTAATTTGAATCCAGCTTGCCAAACGTAAGTTTCAGTATAAAATAATTAGTGGTAAGACCTTGTGAGTGGCTTACGATGTTTTCATCACCACTCTTGACACACTAAACCACAATATTTAAGAGGTAAGAATTTTAAACTTGGTGGTTTAGACGACCCCCTAACTTTGGGCAGATTTTTTTAATGTTCAAATTTCGTCTTATAGGCCGTGATATACGGTACTGTAATTGAAACATGGAGACATTAGCAAGGGTTGCTGACTTTCCACAAATAGTACATTAAATAATATGTTATCAAGCCACTATGAAAGCTTATTCAAATTCAGATACTGTATACCCCATAGAAAAAAACAAAAAGAATCACACTATAAATTCAATGTACAGTACAGTTATCCCTCGGTTAACGAACGCCTCGGTTAACGAATTATATTCTATAAGATTCTTCACTTCGGTTAACGAAAAATTTTCTGTTAACGAATTCCTTACAAATTTTCCCAACATGTTTTCGCCTGCTCACCAGCTGTAGTATTAGTCCGCTAATACAGTAATCGGTTTTAGGGCTTAAATTCGTTACCATTTGAGTAAATATCAAGAAGGTTGTACTATTCAAAAATTTCCAAGTCTTATATTAAAGTTTTTAGTCATTTTTACAATTATTTAACATAAATGAAGTACAGGGAACTAGTTTTTAGTGCACCAAACAGCCACTTGACTCACCCAAAATGGCGTCAGTGTGTGTCCCTGCTCAGTGGAGGAAGCATCTTGCTTGAGACTCTCTTGAACATAAACTATTTTTACAGTACAGTGGTCCTTCGGTTAACGAGCACAATTCGTTCCAGAAGGTTGCTCGTTAACCGAAAAATTTGTTAACCGAAACCATTGTTTCAATGGGTTTTTGGGTAATTGGTTCCAGCTCACCGAAAATTACATACAAACTAAAAATAAATGCAGTAACGTACACTTACTTTGAGGTGTGCCTGTAGAAGGCTCCTGGTTGATGATGATGATGGGAAATAGAATGGGGGTGGAGGAGAAGGGAGAAGAGAAGGCTTTGGGGCGGAAGAGAAGTCACCCCATGCGCCATTTCACCCATGTGTTTCCAGTCAAATTATTGGTCATTCTGAAGTTTATTTTACATATTGACAATATATAATGCAGTGTAGTGTTGGTTTAAAGAAAATAATCTTGAATTACACCAAGTGAACTAAAATTTTATGGTGAAATGGCAACATGAAGCATGGGGTGACTTCTCTTCCACCCCAATGCATTCTCTTCTTCCTTCTCCTCCACCCCCATTCTAATTCCCATCATCATCATCATCAACCAGGAGCCTTTTACATGCACACCTCAAAGTAAGTGTACGTTACTGCATTTATATTTAGTTTGTATGTAATTTTCGGTGAGCTCGAACCAATTACCCAAAATCCCATTGAAACAATGGTTTCGGTTAACGAAATTTTCGGTTAACGAACGACTTTCTGGAACGAACAGTCCAATTAATGAAATTTCGGTTAACGAATTAGCTCCCAAAAGGATTTTCAATTCCTTTAACGAACAAAACTTCGATTAACGAAAGCCTTACGAGAAACACGCTTTGTTGTGCGCATCAGCTGATCGGCTGGTCCGCCAATACAGTAATTAGTTCTATGTTTACATTCGTTTCCAGTAGAGTAAATATCAAGAAAGTTGTGCTCTTGAATATTTTTTGCATTTTTAATATTAAAATTATTGGTCATTCTGAAATTTAGTTACCATACTGATAATATACAGTGCAGAAATTATTATGAAACATGAAGAAGGCATTAGAACCAATGCACTCTGTAAAGAATATGGCATGTCATCATCGACTGCCTCTACAATCAGCCGTTTGATATGTAAACAAAGCTGCCCGGAACACGACATACACACCTCAAAGTAAGTTAAAATATAGTATATTATTGTTTTTTATTTGTTATTATACAGTATACTGTACAGTACAGTACTGGACTGTATTAGTTTATATTTAATGTTTTGTTAATTCTATTATTGGTATACAGTACTTTGAATGTACTTTTTCTGTGAGTTGGAACCAATTACCCAATATCCCATTGAAATAATAGATTCAGTTAATGAACGACTCTGTAGAACCAATTGTGTTATTTAATCGAGGGACCACTGTATACACATTAATAAATTATATATTTTTCTCGCCTAACAATAATGAATATCACAAATGGCAACTCCACTTCAGCACGGAGGAGCAAGTCCACGAGTCAGTTGGGCCACGGCTCACATGCCATTCATGCCAGTCGACACATACTTTTATGATGCTTTGTCACACTGTTAGCTTTCCAAAAGAATTCCCAGCATACTCTCAGGTGCACATGTAGAGTAAACATAGACAAGTGACAGTAGTGATGTGCAGTTGGAGCACATAATCCCCAGTTTTCCCTTTCCCAGTGAGTCAAGTCATGGCTAAACCAAATTTTGACATAACTTTAAACGAGAAAGCATGCCAATTTTGTTTTTATCGCTAAAGTAAATTAACGCTTAACTATGGATACCTGTACTAGGGGGAAGTTGTTGATGAACAAACTGCACACAACAGTTTGATTTGACTTTTCTTTTACCTACTTGATAGGATGTCTTATTCTTAATGACTGGGAGTTGCTATACAGGCAACAAACTTGAAAATGGTAGTATGCAGTCCATACATGAGTTACAAAGCTTGTCCCTCAAGGGCCACAATAATGGATTTCATTTGCTTCATGCATTCTTCATTATACACATAGAGAAATATCAGTCTCCCCCTAAAATTGTCTCATTTGATTGTACAAAGTAAAAAAATTAACAATTATTAAGAGATATCAGCTTACCTTTTGGCATCAACCTTTCCCTCTCTGATGCAAGCGTCCAAACACCAAGTAAACTTATGGCATGGATCAACAGCAATTATATCATGAACTTCTTTGTCATGTAATGCCATAAGAAGTTCCGCTCGTAAAGAACAATAGTGAATGAATCGCGTACGCAAAAAGAGGGTTCGTAAAAACTGAAGGACCATGTCGTATAACTTTACATTCTTCCCAATCATATGCACTAGTTTCTGTACCATCTCCCCTTGACGACGAGCCTAGAAAACAAAGTGAGAAAAGGTAAGCAATGAATCAACATGGTAACCTTTATCCGTGGAGTCCATTTCCCTCTGTTACCTCCTACATCAGTTTGTTCAAAACCTTAGCTTCTTTTGCTCTAGAGAGATGACTTGGCTTAACCTCTAAGAACATGTAAATATAGTTATTTCAAGTCCTATACCAATACTGTATAGCTAATTCATAATGCATGCTTCATTAAATTATTCCAATATACAGATATAGTGATCACTTTATACTAACTTTTGGAGACGGACTAAAAAACAAATTATTAAGATTTTCCACATTAAAGAGAGTATCTTCTTTGCTTGTGATGTAGCCTGTTAAGAGAGGAGAGACTTCATCACCAAACAGTGCCTGCGAGTCCTTCCATATTTGACGCTTCACCTCAGTGTCACAGGCCTCGTATAACTCTCTATCTCGTACCTGATGGAAACAAGTAATTTTATATACTGTATATATGCTGGTGAGTACAGAACATACAGTACAGTAGTAGTATACATTATTTTGTTAATTAACATTATATTGTACATGTACAGTGGTGTTTGCATAAATAGATATACAGGTATCTCTTGTGTCTATCCATGCAAGATGCATCGCTTTGATTTTTGGGTAAACTTTCCCCAGTACAGGGTGGAAAATTTCTTTGTCTTGGCTGTGTGACACAGCCCCATTCATGCCTTGTATGCCTGTATCATATAGATGTTTTGTTATTTTACCAAAAATATTAGTTAAACTATTCAGGATTACTTTAGTAAAAAAAATTGTGTTTCTAACTTAATTAGAACTGATATTTTGTTTAAGGATCTTTTATTGAAACTATCATGTAGAAAATGTTCAGATATTCAGGATCATTATGAAATCAAATCAATCTCTTTAACACACTTAGAACAGATGGTGTGAATAAAAGTTAATATACTTTCTCGCTACCCATAATTATTTTCCCTCATGCCCGTGGCCTAAATGTAATAGAAGAGTGTTTGCCCCTCTGAGATGAGATGCCTAGTTTAGACTCTCAAAAAACTTTCCCCAGCACCCAGAAACATTCTGAGGATGTGGAAAAGTGTCTTTCCATGCAAGATCTGTAGTTTAGACTCGGAAACTTTTCTCAGTACAGGTACTGTACCCAGAAAAATTCCAGGGATGTGGGATCTTTCCGGGTTTTTGAGATCCGTCTCATCACCTGAAAATCTCATTCTCGGAAGAGCTCTGCACCAACTCTTCCAGGTAAAGGGGGAAGTTAGTGTACTAATATGAAAAGTTGAATACGCTGTATTGTATCTAAAAGAAAAAATAGGTAAAAAAAAAAGAAGTTCATACCAGTATCTTGAGATATTTGTCCTCAACATGAGACATATGCTTTAATATGCACATAACAACAGGACGGGACTTTAATCTTTATCACAGGAAACTTTTTGGTTAGTAGTTCCTTCAGCTTACGGTCTCTGTCTCGCCCTTCTCTCTTCCCCAGCTCAGTAATCTGAGATATCAACTTATCTCGTAGTTCCTGTGGAAAAAGAAAATAAGATCATGCAAATAACTGTATCTGTGCATAAAATATCAAAAACACAACACATGTACATACTACAATACATCAAGACAATATTAATACCCACAGCTTGCCAATGCTATTTATCTATGTTCAAGCACTGTATAGTGTTAACTGTTCCATCTTAATATCTTTATTATTTGCTTTCTCACAAAGTTATCCCTCATTTATTTTAAGAAACGATGGAAACTTTCTGTTTAATTCATATTCTAATTGTTAACCTCTTAATGGTTATGTACAGTATACTGTATACAGTATATATATATACAGTTGTTCCCACTTAGCGTCAATTGAACCCAGATCACAAGTGAAATCAAGAAACAAGTGAACGCAGGATTAATTCAATAGAACCGGCCCGACCCCCAAACCACTTTTTGAAGGCACATACCTATGTTGTAGTAAAAATAACATCTTAATTTTATGATGGTACATGCACACAATTAATACTTAAGAGAAATAGAGAAATACAGTGGCCAAGTTAATGTCCATTCAAATAATGGACTCAACTCCCTCCCCCTCTCACACTACACACCGGCTAACAGATGGTGGGTGGGTCCCTCCCCCCACCCCCCACCAACTTCCCCAAGGAGATGTGTGGGATAACCTCAAACTAAAGTTAGAAAATATAATTGACATTGCTGGATTCATTTGAAGACCAGGAATATTTTGAATATAAATGTCATATATTTTGGTAGAAAGATAACATAGTTACCTGAGAAAAATTTTTATCTAAAATTGTTTAAAAGCAAAATATATGATGTTTATATTCAAAATGATCACCAAATTATAAGAATTCCAGCAATGTAAATTATATTCTGACCGGGTAATTTGTATGAATTTTATGAGCTAAAACAAATATCTTCTAAATAAAAAAAAATAATCTTCACGACACTATCTGTCAATCAAAGTACCCCCACCTGGCTCTCCCTCCTCCATCCCGGGTCAGTCCCACCTCCCCCACCCCCCACCAATCCTCCTTCAGAGTTTTTTAACATTTAGTATTAAATAATACTCAGATTGTTAGGATATTATAATTGACATTGTTGAGTTTGTAAATAGGGAATATTTTTAAATGCATATATTTTGCACAAAAGATATTAGTTACCTAGAGAAAATTTTTATTAAAAATTGTAAGTTTATAGAAATCTATGATGTTTATATTCAAAATGATCTTAAATTATAAGAATTCAGCAATGTAAATTATTTCTGACGGTAATTTGTATGATTTTATGAGCTAAACAAATATCTTCAGTTAATAAAAATAATAATAATTCTTCTTTGGGTAACAGATGGTTGGTTGGTCCTCTCTCTCCCCAACCCCCACCAGTCCCAAGGAGATGGGATAACCATAAATTTTAATAAATAATACCTCAAATAAGGTTAGGATAATATAATTGACATTGCTGATTCATTGTAAGATAGGAATATTTTGAATATAAATGTCATATATTTTGCACAAAAGATACCATAGTTACCTAGAGAAAATTTTTATTTAAAATTGTAAGTTTAAAGCAAAATATATTGATGTTTATATTCAAAATGATATCCAAATTATAAGAATTCCAGCAATAAATTATATTCTGGCTTTAATTTGTTGAATTTTATGACAAAACAGGTAGTAGGGGAGTGGTGGGGTGGGGCAAATCTAAAATTAGCGCTCGACACTCACGGCGATATGTGGAAAAATGGGTTAGTGAAAGTTCAGCTTTGGCAAGGCAATCGTATATGTTGGAAGCAGCATCCAGCCTCTTAACACAGCAAACAGGTTAGTCTCTCTGTTTTCACTGAGGTAACATCTTGCTTGAGACTCTTTTAACTTCGCTTTTTCTGTGTTTCCAAGCAAATTATTGGTCATTTTGAAATATATTTTGTTTGGACAATATATAATGCAGTACAGTGTTGATTTAAAGAAAATAATCTTGAAATACACCAAGAGAACTAAAATTTTATGGTGAATGGTGCCATGGGGTGACTTTCTTCCACCCCAATGCCTTCTCTTCCTCCCACCCCCATTGTATTCCCATCATCATCATCATCATCATCCAGGAGCCTTCTACACACACCTCAAAGTAAGTGAGCTTTTCTACCATTTTTGTTGAATTTAGGAAATTTTGGTGAGCTGGAACCATATCTAAACCCATTGAAACAGTGGTTTTGTTAATGAACTTTTCGGTTATCTAATCGAACTTCTGAGCGGTTTATTTTGTAACTTAGGATGTATATATAAATATATATATATATATATATATATATATATATATATATATATATATATATATATATATATATATATATATATATATATATATATATATATATATATATATATATATATTATATATATATATATATATATATATATATATATATATATATATATATATATATATATATATTTATTTTAGTCCATATAACACGCTGAACATATAATCAGCGGCAGTTTATGAGGTTCACGGCGCTATCAGCTCGATGAACAGGCTTTGTGTGAAATATAACAGAGTTTATTACTGTTTAGTGTCCTTGTGGCTTAGCCGTGAGTTTCCTAGTCACCAGTAGGTCGAGGTTCGATTTTGCTGGTGAGTTCGTTGATTATATATATATATATATATATATATATATATATATATATATATATATATATATATATATATATATATATATATATATATATATATATATTTTTTTTTTTTTTTTTGTTTCCCCTCTTTATCGAAGGGGTTACGTTCTGTAAACGTCGTGCTGGCTTTTATACGTGATGTTTGGGTAATTTTTCTAAATTATTAGTAACCGTGATATTATGTAGTTTTTTCTAAATTATATAGTATATGTTGAATAAATGTACTTTGCTATCAATGCTTCACACATAACCTTAAATAATATATGTATAAATAATAATATAACAAGTAACAAAAATACTAAAGAAATCTCTACTATTTAATTTATTGAAGTGAACATCGGTCCTTACAGTAAACACTGCTGCATATACAGTATACATGTGTTGATAGATTGGAGGAAGCGTGACAAAGCTCGACCAGCTGGGATGAGCATGATTAGTCAAGGTCTTGCATCTTTTGAGGGGTGGGCAGGTACTGCCTATTGTTGTGAGGTGTCGGCAGTTTACGCCTTGTTGTTGTTGTGGTGTGTCGGCAGGTTCAAGTATTAAGCAGGCACCTCGCCAACAACAGCCAGTTGGTGATGGTGGTCTGTGCCTTTGCTTCTCATTTCCCTCAGCAGTTCCCATATATACGGCAACATAACATTTTCAATAGCTCTCTTGGCTTTTAAGGACCTATCAAGGAGGGATCAATGTCATAGAGACTAAGCAGAGAGGCCCACTCATTCCCTCATCACTACCCAAGATTATCTAAAGTTAAGCTCCCCTCATTTTCATCATCACCACTTCATCGTCTGTTTAACTCTTGTGCCCAATTCAATTGTCCTTCCCAGTTCATCACCCCTATAGGCCAGTTCCCAACATTTCAATAACTTCTTCTGCACCTCTGCCGCCAGAAGCTGAGAACTTCCACCTCCAACTTATCGTCGGCGCAGTTATTGCTATGTTGTCGCAACCGGGAGGCTCCGCCGCGCCGTAGAACCCGTGAATGCAGCAATAATTTTGCAGGCCACAATTTTTTCCAACATGATCGGACAGTTCTAAGTATGGTTGTCTATTGTGGCTTGCAAGTAAGTCATGCACCTGCATATCAAATTTTCCACATTTCTCTGGTGTCACATCAAACCTATCGTTTGACTCACGAATCATGCTGTCTTCTGCTGAATTTCTTAAAGGATAATGACTCCCTGGGTCCATTAAGCTTTGATAGATGGAGGTAGGCAGCAGGAAAACCACCCTCACGTTGGGTGGGCAGTCTCGAGTTCTTTCAGGCCAGCAATTATCTAGACATAATACCACTTTGAACTCCATGCTGCTCATCCAGATATTTTTCACCCCAGCAAAAGTGGTTTTTCAAATGAACCACGCATGCAAATCAGGAGCGTCATCCACGCTTTGTTGTCTCCTAAGAAAACTGCGGCAAGTCTATATGATGGAGAGCCCGAGGTCGTAGCGGCAAGTGTATAAACAACATGGGCTTTTTAACCATACGCCCCTGCCGTGAGCCCCCACATAGCATCACTGTCACCGTCCTTCGCAACTTTAAATCCAGGGCCTTTTTTTTCTTTTGAGATGTGGTGTTCGGCGCATCTTTTTCCACCATAGGCCTGTCTCATCAAAATAAAAATCCAACCTGGCCATAACCCTTAGAAAGCAGTGAATATATAAATTTCTGCAGGGTATGCTTCCTCTGCTACAGTGTTCGCTGATGCTGCTTCGCTTCGTCACTTTTATATTATGCAGTTCCATAACGATGTTCGAATTTCAAATCATCCTTTGCTAGCTGCAAATTTTTTCAAATTGTCACCATCAATTATCACCCCTGATCATCACCATCACCATCACCACAACACCATGATCATCACTTTTAGGAAACCCACTGGCAAAAGTTCCCTCAGCTTTCTGCCTAAATTTCGAGTCATGGTGGATATATGGTTTAGGGTCCTCTATTCAAATGTTCAGTGCTTTTTCCATTTAATGAGGGCATCATCACGCACATGGCTTGTCACTTTTTGATGTCACTGGTGCACTTTGAAGCTAAGCTGCAGCCTTCAGGACTTTTGCACGCTGAAGAATTCCACGCACACTGACCATGGAGTTCAAAGTATGCCAACAGCTGCATAGCTCATACCTCTGTCAGAGTTGTTTCAGCACTTCATTCTTCCATTCAGCCAGCACTGCCTTGCCCCTCTTAGGTAGATCCAGAGGAGCAGCAGGTCGTTTGGAGGCAAGTATAAGGGATATGGTGTCTATGTGATGAACCACCAGCAAAAGTTGAAAATCAAAGACCGTTGCTCACTGGCTTATTTGGCGTTTGTGTTCAGGGAAGGCGGGTCAAGGAGATGCTTAGTCATCATGATTTAGTAAAGGCTTAGCTGCTAAGTGAAGGAACAAGGTTCATGAGTTCAAATAAAGTCAGTAACAAAAAACTCACAATAACTGTCGATATCGAAACCCATTTATAAAAAAATGTGTCAAACCGCCGATAAAAATCCGTCGATAAAGAGAGAATTATATATATATATATATATATATATATATATATATATATATATATATATATATATATATATATATATATATATATATATATATATATATATATATATATATATATATATATATATATATATATATATATATATATATATATATATATATATATATATATATATATATATATATACGTATGTATATATATATATATATATATATATATATATATATATATATTGAACCTCACTTTACGCTGTTAATTCAACCCACAGGCGTCTGAAAGTGAACAAATATAATATATGGGATTAATTTGAAATAGAGACTGGTATCCCAAACTCCATTTTTTCAGACACAATACCTACGTTAGTAAAAAATAACTTCTTAATTTTATGATGGTATGCACAATTATTAATAATTAAGAGAAATATCAATAATATTAGGTTTTATAACACTACATTAGTAGAAAAGATGGCTGCACACGGATGGGGGTTGTTCGAGGCAGAGGGCAGATTAATTATTGGCCCTCACCTGTATCATTTGTATCAATTGTATCACTTATCCACCACAGAGGCTTGCAGGGCCTCTTGTCAAACCCTCAAAGTCCATGTAAGTCCATATCCTCACTATCATTATCACTATCACTGACCTGGGCCGCTGTGGTGGGTGGCGGTGAAGAACTCGGTAATGTTTTGATGATGGCGACCTTAGGCGTCTGTTCTGGCCAGCTACAACATGGCGGAGAGGCGGGAGATGACTGGAGGTTTGATCCAAAATGGCGAGCCGCCAGCCGCCTCCGCAGTAGGAAGCACATGGCAGTGTGAGATCCGTTTCGGCAGGGTGCCGTAACGAAATGTGGGACAAAGCGGGGTTGACTGTATACATACATACATGCCATATACATACATACATATATATATATATATATATATATATATATATATATATATATATATATATATATATATATATATATATATATATATATATATATATATATATATATATATATATATATATATATATATATATATATATATATATATATATATATATATATATATATATAACATATGAACCCAGAGGGTCCTGTTAAGTGAACTGCATGAATGTGAACAAGAACATATGGGATTAATTCCAATAGAAACCGCCCGACCCCCAAACTCCACTTTTTAAGGCACATACCTATGTTGTAGTAAAATAACATCTTAATTTTATGATGGTACATGCACACAATTAATACTTAAGAGAAATAGAGAAATACAGCTAAGTAATGTCCATTCAAATTATGGACTCAACTCCTCCCCTCTCACTACACTGCCGCTCTTCTCTCAGAGAAATTTTTGTGAAACCACTAAATTTTAAATAATAATACCTCAAACTAAAGTTAGATACTATTGACATTGCTGATTCCTTGTAAGACCAGGAATATTTTGAATATAAATGTCATATATTTTGCACAAAAGATAACATAGTTATCAGAGAAAAATTTTATCTAAAGTTTGTATGTTTAATGCAAAAATGATCTTTTATATTCAAAATGATCACAAATTATAAGAATTCCAGCAATGTAAATTATATTCTGACCGGTAATTTGTATGAATTTTATGAGCTAAAACAAATATTTCAGTTTAAAAAAAAATAATTCACGACACTATTCAATCAAAAGTCTTTGCCTCCCCTTTCCAACCAGCGGTCGGTCCCAACCTCCCCCCACCCCACCAATCCTCCTTTCCAGAGTTTTTAACATTTAGTATTAAATAATACCTCAGATTAAAGTTAGGATATATATAATTGACATTGCATTCCTTTAAGATTAGAATATTTTGAATATAAATGTCATATATTTTGCACAAAAGATTACATAGTTAATTTGAGAAAAATTTTATCTAAATTTGTATGTCTAATGCAAAATATATGATGTTTATATTCAAATGATCATCAAATTATAAGAATCTGTAAATGTAAATTATATTCAGACCGGTAATTTGTATGAATTTATGAGCTAAAACAAATATCTTCTAATAAAAAAAAATAAATAATTCTTCACGGGTAACAGATGGTCGTCCGTCTCCTCCCTCCCCCACCCCACCAACCGTCCCAAGGAGATGTGATAACCACTAAATTTTAATAAATAATACCTCAAACTAAAGTTAGATAATATAATTGACATTGCTGGATTCCTTGTAAGACTAGGAATATTTTGAATATAAATATATATTTTGCACAAAAGATAACATAGTTACTCTGAGAAAATTTTATCTAAAATTTGTATGTCTAATGCAAAATATATGATGTTTATATTCAATGATCACCAAATTATAATTCCAGCAATGTAAATTATATTCTGTCGGTATTTGTATGAATTTTATGAGCTAAAAACAGGCAGTCAGGCAGGGTGGCGGTGGGGCAAATCTAAAAATAGCGCTCGAGCCGGACACTCACGATATATGGGAAAAAAAAAATCCGTGTTAAGTGAAAGTTCACTTGGCGAGGCACTATATATGATAAACGCGTTATGAAACCGCATAGCGGGTAATACTGTGTTATATATATATATATATATATATATATATATATATATATATATATATATATATATATATATATATATATATAAAAGTTCTATCAAATCATGTCAACAATGGTTTTGTACACATTTATACCCTTTGGAATTCAAATTTTGCACCTGGTCAAATTCAAAAGAGAACCATCAAGAAATATTAGAAAGGACATAAAGTGATAATTGGCACCTCTTGGATGATGGCCTGAGGCTACTTCCTGCCTCTACCCTCAGTGTTTGTTTCATCATGGCATCTTGTAGTGGGCTTACTAACCAGGATATTCACTCCATTTATATTTTGGGCCAATTTGATGGACCCAGTGCCCAACAATATCAAATTACAAGCAGTGAGGGTTCAGCATACTGTACTTCCACTTATTTCATACTAATTTTGAATTACTGTATTCATTACATATTTATTGTTATCAATATTTTCAACTGTACAATGCACAAAAACAACAAAATTATCAAGATCAATGGAGGGATCCTACACAGGCCAGTGGCCACCTTCCCTCATCATGACCACCTCTAGTGGGTGGCTGTATGGTAAATGTTTATTCTTTGACCCATGCAAATTGATCTGAAATCTACCATACACAGGAAAGTGATAGGTATCAAACACAATCATCAATAGCTTCATCACCAGTTCATTATCTTCTTCCGGTAATACTGCAGTAAACAACAACCACAAAATTCCGGAAATTCACTTCTTTCAATCGATAGAACTATTTTTTCTATGATCATTTTCTTATATTACAATTCCGTCACAAATTGATAAAAAGGAAATTATTGAATTTTAAAAAGATTAAAATCAGAGCACCTGTTGCCCCTACGCTGTTGCTCAAATTGTTCATGTTCGTATGTTCGCTTACCTATCTGCAATTTTACCAAATATTGTAATGGCTATTTATATTCTCGTGGAGGCTGACCACGCGACTCTGGGTTATTACATAGTGTCTGGGGGCCTGGGAGTAAAGCCCCCGGCTAGGGCAACCAGGGGTAAGGGGCTATATTGCATAAGTTAGCAAGCACAGAGTACCGGGAATTCAGAACATGCGATCGTTAGAACTATTATTTCTACTATTTTTTTGTAAATAACAGAATTCCTGTTGCGTAATGTGTTCTTCTAATGTTTTCTTTTTGCGATTCGGACAATTTTGGAATTTGCTTTTACCACAAATCACTCGTTTTGGCTCTCCCCAACCCTGAACCCTGAATTCCCACGCTTCCCCCCATTATTGTTGGGGAGGGGGAGGGTTAAATCTAAAACTAGTTATTTCTGATAAAAATGAATGTCAGATTTGAACCAATCGCATCAAAAACCATCAGAATTTTTTTTATCAGATTCTTTGGTTGCTGTAATCTGCAATTTTACCCCTTTTCCATGACAAAGAATCTGGATGATTTGTCAAAATTCTAAAGATTAAAGCTAAAGCCACATCTCACCTCCATGATAGAATTGTGAAAGTCAAGTCGCTTAACCCCGTGCAAATCCAAGAGATGTAACATGGGTCTCAGTGATGGCAGAAGGATCCCATTCTCTAACTGAAAAATATAATATATTTACAAGTTCAGTACTTCACAGGAATACTGTATACTGTATGTACTGTATATTTAAATATTAAAAATGCAAAAAAATCAATTACATACAAAATAGAAAGCATGTACTGTGCAGTACAGTATATAGTATGTAAGACCAAGCAAACTGTCTTCAGGTAAAGGTGACTGGAAGGGAATAGGCTCTTTGTGTAAACTGATACACTCTTAACAATGCATTTTCTATGGTATTTACACTTTGTAGCTCATAAGAATTGGGAGCAACAGTAATGAAACAAGTTTTTTCTTTGTTCATAAGACTAAAATAATAAGAACTAGTTTTTATTGCTTTCAAATATACTTTTAAATTCTTAGCAGAACAAGCTACAGCATAACTTCTACCCTTTCAAAAATTTGCTTGTCTAATTATGTATTTCTATCTATAGCCATCCCTCTTCAGAGCTGGAGTCCACATCTTGGTTAGGATTTACATCTAAGGAAAGCTATGTTTTTTTTTCCTTTTCTAAAGTACATCAACAATAAAGATACTTTTGGAAAATATTTGAAATTGTCTATTCCAGGTTAACAATTTCTAACAATATCGACTGGGAGTCCCAGGGACAAACTTCTCTGCTACAGACTAAACACCAGTAGGTGCAAAGCAAATTCTATACTGTATGCAGCTTTAGCAGTCTTATAACTAATTTACTCTTGTCATGCAAAATAATAATGCACAATATAACAGACAAAACTAATAAATTATGAGAATAGGACCAACTAAAGTACAGTAATATGAAATTTATGAAATATAATATTTACCTGAAATTCTTCTATAGCCTTTAGAGGATCTGTACAGTGTGTAAGTGACTCCTTAAGATACACACCTCCTGGGATGCCAATTTCTTCTAAGCCAAACCCTGCCATTGCACCTAAAATGCAACAGTCAAAAAACATATTGTAGTTGGTATCATAACCACTAAGGATTAAACAGAGTCCACAGTATTCTTCAGAACAAATATTAATTACTGTAATTAAATGTCTTAATTTATAGCCTGCCATCAGTCAGATGAAGCTACACCCACGCTCTCTCATGTGTTAGTGGTAAAATCCACACCTCCAAATTTTGTTTCACTTCCAAATTTCACACCTTCTCTTATAACTCTGCACCTCTCTTAAGTTCTCATTCGCAGCACTACTTCATCTTGTGCAGTGATAAATCAATAAGGCGGGGCCCAATCGATGTCTACAGCTATGCTCAGGCGGCTTGGTGTATGTTTATAAGCTGTTCAGGCCGTGAGGGTGGAGCCTCATGGCTAAAAAGTTAGGTAGGTTAGGTTAGGTTAGGTAGGTTTCTTTGGTTAGATAGGTGAGGTCTTATAACAATGCTTCTACCAATTGTTTTCTTATGAATTATGGTTAGGTTAGGTTTAATTTAGAAATAACCACTTTTTAACACATTTGCCATAACTACGACAGTTTCCACTATAAATCACACGTGAAATTGCTGCGTTTTTAATTTCTTTTTCTATGAAAATACAGCGGCAGTAAAGTCATCAATAATCACCAATTGGCACCGGGTATCTCATCAATAATTACACTCAATTTGTTTTATTACTTAGTATCATCTAAATAACATCTGAAAATTTGGTGTAATTCCATACATCCTTCAGGTGCTAATTGTCTCCACCTCTACCTTTAAGTTTTATGGTAATTTTTGTGTGCTAGAGTGGCAATTATGTCCAGGACTGCATTTCCTACCTTTCTCAGGTATTATCGTTTGGCCATGCAGCGAATTTAGGTTTAGGTTAGGTTAAGTTAGGTTAAAATTATGTTTTTCTGATAGTTTTGGATGTGTTTTGAATGATTCTGACCTTCGAAAAATAGATGCATGACCTAAATGATAATTTTACCCTTCCTCACAGCAGTGAATGCTCACTACCAATGGTTAATATTGATGACTGACCCACAGACAAGTTATTTGTTTTACTGTTTACTTTCTTACTTTATTTTCATCAGTGAGTTCTGATGCAAATGCTTTGTTTGGCAAATAATAAGGCGCCTAGGCACACAATACTTTGTCTTTTCGGCAGTAATGCGGCAGTGACGTCTCATTCCAGGATGTAAACAGCCAATCATTTTGACATATTTCAAAACACTGCACCGCCCGGGCTTGATCAACGGTGATGCTCAGTGTATGCTTAAGAACTGTTCGGTACAGACGGCTGCTCTCATGCCCACAAATACACATAAAATTACACCATATCATAGTAAATTCTTTCTGTTTAATATACCTGAGGGGTGGAGTCCCCCGGCTAAGAAGTTAGGTAAGATTAGGTAGGTTTGTTTGGTTAGGTTGGCGAGGTCTTTTAACGATGCTTCTGCTGCGTGTTTTTAATTTCAAGTAAGGTTAGGTTCGGTTTAATTTAGAAATAACCACCTCTTAACACATTTGCACAAACTACAACAGTGTCCACTATAAAACAAGTGAAATTGCGGCGTTTTCATAATCGTTTTCTATTAAAAATTGGCCGTGGGTCAGTCATCAATAATTAACCTACCAATGATTTATTGATAATCGGACAAGTGAACCAACCAAACATACAGCCCCCATAATAACACTGTTGTAAATTAATACCCAACAAATTTAATAAAAGCCACAGCAGAAGGGATAATTTGTTGCCATAGTTAAGTTGTGGAAAAATATTAAAGAGGCTACTCCACCACAGTGAATCATGATTTCAGGACCTAATATTTCGCTACTGACCACTACTCTATTCTTGGGTCGAGTCGTTCATAAGATAGAGGGGCAGATGTGTGAACACTATCCCACACAACTCCAACTCACACACCATGAAGGAGATATTGTTTACACACAATGTTTGTCTCGAACCTTGCACATAAGTCACATACAGTGGAAACGTTTTGGGTGAGTGTATTAAATTAAAAAACATTATATTAATCAATTTTAAAATATTTTTAAATGATAATCTATTATTATTTTTCTTATTTCTGAAATCTTTCCTCCAAATGTATCAACATGCATGAGAGGGACTCGAACAAGAGACCATTCAAAATATATCTTTTAAAATTTTCATATGACTGATAAAGAAAAAATTTTTAATTTTATATTCACCTAAAATATCAAATTCCATAATTTAATAGATTTATTATATTAACTAATAAATGATACGAAATTTTCAATTATTTCTTCAGTCTAAAATTTGAATGTCATAATAAACTGTAAGTTAGGCAGCCTCTCTGTCTATACAGTCTTCTATCAAGTAAGAATCTAGGCTGTAGGTAACTAAAAAAAATTTCCCGGTAAAAAACGATCGTACATCTCCCTCTTTGTTCAGGTGTGGCTGCTAATGGAAATGGCAAGAAAGAACCAAAGAACGTCCTTGGGTTTGAAAATGTCGACACAACAATCACCTCTATCCACGCTTCTGAATTTACTTTACTTCATCCTCTTCGCCACTGATCGGCTTGTTAGCTGTTTGGGCAGTCGGTCATGTCTGTTACACACTGTTGGCAAGTTATGGTTCCAGAATGTATCTGTACCTTGCTGGGCCTCTCTCTTAAGTAAATCACTGTAGGTGCGCGTGATCTAGGTATATGCTGATAACCACAAGGAAAGAAGAAAACACGAAGTTCCCAAGCCGACCCCACCAATTCCCCAGTGTGTGCCTCGTGGTCTGGGTCAACCAGCGCCGCCATACATCACGGAGCGGGGTCAACTACTAAGCCACGCCTAGCCCCCGCTATTTAAGACCTGACCTCCTGGTGACCTGTCTCTTCTACCTCCACCAACCAGCCAGCAACACCTCCTCCTCCGCCGCTGCCTGGCGGTCCTCGCTCCTCCTCCTCCTGCCTGGTGGTCCTCACTCCCGCCGGCGAGCATGGTGACCCACAAGCTGGTCCTTCTCTGAGCGTCCTCACCAACCAGCTCTCTCTACATCACGCTTGTAACCATGCTGCCTTCCCAGTACCAAGCTGCATTGTACATCCAATACAACATGTATATAGAGAGCACATTGTGAGTTTCCTTTCTCCATCCCATCCTGAGTGTGAACCCAATATCACGTACCCCACAGGCTTAAATATACAGGGTGACCTTATATATATATATATATATATATATATATATATAAGGTCACCCTGTATATTTAAGCCTCTTCTGTCCATGTAATCCAGTTGCTCTCTGAAGATGTCTTGAATAAAGACGAAAGCCATGTGCTCCGTTTTTCCTGCAGGATTTTATCAAGATATATATATATATATATATATATATATATATATATATATAATTATTAAGTAAATTGGAAATGCAACTTTACACTTTGGCTCTGCATTTTCACAAACTGCGAGAGCCCACGAACCCGAGCATCCAAAAGAGGGCAACCAAATTGCGTTTCACGCAGGGGCGGATTCGGCGGGTGGGGTCTTGGGCCTTTTCACCACAAAATTCCAATACTTTTCCTTATTTCAGTATTGTAGTCAGGCATTTTTGTATAATAAAAAGTATTTACTATTGACTTCAGAATATTCTCCTAATTTCAAGTGCGCATGGCTTCAAAATGGCCTCAAAATGCCCATGATTGGTCAGAATTAAAAAAAAATTCATGGGGCCTTACAGCTTGGGTGGGCTCCCGGCTGTCGCCATATTCCCCCACCCACAACTTTTTGGACCCCTCCCTTTTGATATTCCTAGATCCGCCCCTGTCACGTATTAAAGATTAGAATTTAGAATGCCTTCAGTTGCCTAGCTTTTATTAAAGACGAGCAAGGGGTAATTTAATAAAAGTTTATTAGTACCTCAAATATCATTGCTCGAGTCCATATTTGGAGCTAGCGAATTTCTTGCCCCACTTTAGAAAATTATTGTAGCACGAGTTTGGCTTCTGCTTTATAGCTGCCTTTCCCATCCCATTCTTCAAATGACATTCAAGGAACGAATCATCCAGACCACATGAAGGACCTAGGTGTGTATGTTGACAATGAGCTGAAGTTCTCGGGCCATTGTGAGAAGAAGGTAAATCAGGCAAATAAATTATTGGGTCTTATAAGAAGGTCGTTCAGATATCTAGACGGTCCGTCCCTCGTGACGATCTTCAGGAGTGAAGTGCTTCCCCATCTGGAGTACTGTCACCCCATCTGGTCCCTGAGATATGCTAGGGACTGTCAGTTGGTTGAAAATGTTCAAAGGAGGGCCACCAAACTGGTGCCTGCACTTCGGCATCTCAGCTACCCTGAGAGATTGGAGCGCCTGAACTTGCCTAGCTTATACTACAGACGGGCAAGGGGGGACCTAGTTGAGGTTTATAAGCATCTCAGGGGGCACTACTCAGTTGAGTGTCCTTACTTGAGCTGGCGGACGCTCGCCCCACAAGGGGTCACAGCTCAAGATTGAAGAAGCCGCAAGTCCGGAAAACCGTGAGGGCAAACTTTTTCGGAGTGAGGGTTGTAAACTCTTGGAACAATCTACCAGAGAGTGTTGTGACGGCACCGAGTGTGAGCTCTTTCAAGAGAAGACTTGATCAACACTGGAGCGGGTTCAGGTACATTCAGGAGCCGGTGCATGCCCAGTATTTGCCAACAGTGCGTGACAGAGACGTGACCGATCGCCCGGGCGGCTAGCGAGCCGACCTTTTGGTGAAGAATATAAAGGAAAAGAGACGTGACCGATCGCCCAAGCGGCTAACACGCTGATCAGTGGCGAAGAGGATAAAAGTTAACATGTTGTGATATAATGTGAGGGCGCGGGTTCCCTCTCTGTATCTACACCACCCTCATCTTACTTACTTCTCTTAGTCTTACTCTTACTCAGTTCCGTCACCTATTCTTTTGGTAGCATGGACATTCTTTTGGTAGCATGGTCGAGGGTCTAGGCACATGGGTAGGGTAATTCTGGTATCAAGTCACTTGGATGGAAATAAAGGTAAAATACTGTGGGAGAAATGAATACACCTAAAGTACTCTAAAAACAAGTTTATTAATATGCAATCAATGGGGAAAGATATTGTATTAATCATATAACTACCAGGCTCAACTCCTGGGCTTAGTGCAAACTCAGTTCCTACATCCTTACTCTTAATCACAACATTATTGGTGTTACCTTACATGGCACTCATTGTAGATTATAGTATTTTACTCAACATACTCGTTAATAATTAAACTAGCATATACAGGGGTCCACTACCCATCATGGGATAATTATTTCCATCTAATTATCCCTAACATACATGTTACACCACTCTCTGTGGACATATACTTCCAAGGAGTAACCCAGGGTAGAGCACTGGGGCTCACGACTGTTGTTATTGTGGGGTAGCCAGACACATGGCGGGTCTGGGGTCTGGCCCAACGAAGCCGTGGGGCACATTAATCAGGCCGCATCGGTGCCATCGTTTCATATATGGTCCCTGCTGGGTACCTACTTCATCCGGGGCCGTTGTTGAATGGTTGCAAGAATCACAATGGGATCTGGAGAAACATGGGAGCAGCGTCAAGGAACATGACAACACAAACAACTCTCTTGTCTAGACGACAGACGTATTTACGTTTTATTACTTCTACACTGGGTGAATGACAATTCAACTGTTAAATCATGAACACTGGTGAACACTGATATTCACTACAATTGACTGAATTAACTGAATGGCTACACAAAACATACCTGGAGAAACATGGGAGCAGCGTCAAGGAGCATTCTCCCTGGCTCGTCTTGGGTATATATACCCCTGAGTTGCCAGTGATCGCTACTCACGCAATGACAATAATTACAAACAAACTAACTGTTACTCATTCAAAGATGACCCTCAGTTGACAAAGGTCTGGCGAATGCCTTGAGTTGATTTACACAGACTAATTCAAGATTGAGCTTCCCAGGAGAAAGTGGAATAAACACGCATTGATAACTGTCTTCAAAAAGGCAGGACTCTGGGAGGGAACACAAGTGTAGCGTGTATGGGGAAAAAACACGTCTTCTCAGATCAGCATTCAACGTGACCATGACAATAAGCTGCAGGAAGGAGTGACAGTGAGCTCAGTTGGTGCAAGATTCACAAGTTGTCGCTTAAAGTGATGGAGATTGTTGCTAAACAAAGCCAGTGTGGCAAGTTCAAGGCTGACATACCACAAATGCCACAACAACATCTTGAACTGTCTGTTGGAGCTGTTTGTCATTGTACATCAACAAACGATTGTGCAAATCAATATCATTCATTGGTGCTTCGACAACAGACCAATTAGTAAACCAGGTACTCCATGTAGATCCAGAGCACAAAGCAATTGAGCCGATGCATAGCTTGAAACTCGTGTCATTATGCCAATGTTATCCTCGTTTCCTTCTAAGAGCGTTACGTTTACTATTCGTTAGGTAACTGTAAAGTAGCTGCTTTGGCAGTTTACTGTCGTCATTGCTGGTAACATGGCCAGTCCAACGTAGTTGTTCTTGGATAATGGTAGCCTCGACGCTCCTATAGTTAATTGGTGTCAGCAAGAATACTGGCATTTTTTCTCTTGTCTTCCCAGCGAACTCGGAAGATGGAATGTAAACTACATTGGTGAAAGTTTTGAAGTGCCTTGAGGTGCCTCCTGTATGTGACCCATGTCTCACTGCCATATAGTAGGGTGGGGAGGACCACTGCTCGATATACGTGCAACTTTGTAGATAATTTAAGCTCCCTACAGCTGAAAACACGATTTCGGAGTCTGCCAAAGGCTTGAGATGCACATCTGCTCCGATGCTGGTTCTCTTCATCGATGTCTGCGGTGGTGGACAAGTGGGAGCCGAGATACCGAAAGTGGGCAACATTAGAAAGGATAGTACCGTTAAGCTGGATGGATGGTGGAGGTGTGTCTGAACCAGGGGCAGGTTGAAAGAGAATCTTAGTTTTACTTACATTCACCTCAAGACCGAAGTGTGCATACGCATCTGTGTAGGTGTTCAGGATCTCCTGTAGGTCGTGTTCAGTGTGAGCAACAAGGGTGAGGTCGGCTGCATACTGAAGTTCAGTAATGGAGGCTGCCGACACTTTTGTTCTTGCCTGGAGTCGTCTTATGTTGAAAAGACCCAGTACTCGATGTTCACCCCGCTGGCTAAATTGGCACTGGCACAAGTAAGGAAGGCAGCCAAGAAGATGGAAAAGAGAGTTGGTGCCAGTACACACCCTTGTTTAATCCCTGTTTGGATGGGGAAGAACTCTGACTGGATGCCGTTGTACAGGACACTGCCGTTCATGCCATTGTGGAGTTGCCTCACAATTGACGATGAATTTTGGTGGGCAGCCAAAACGGCTGAGGGTCCACCCGAGGGCTTCCCTGTTGACCGAGTCGAAGGCCTTTGTTAGGTCGATGAAAGCCATGTACAGGTCACGACGCTGTTCTCTGCACTTTTCCTGTATCTGGTGGGCAGCAAAGATCATGTCAGTGGTGCCACGTGATGGTCTAAACTAGGAAGAAGTATGTTTAAGAGGACTCGGGTGATAATCTTGCCAGTTATGGACAGCAGAGTGATCCCACGGTAGTTGCCACAGTCTGACTGGTCTACCTTGTTCTTATAAATATTGACAATGGAGGTGTTTTTAAGAGCTTGGGGGATTTCCTCCTTTTCCCATATATTCTTTAGGAGAGAGTGGAGACGGCTGGTAAGCAGAGATCCTCCCGCTTTATACACCTCGGCTGGGATTCCATCAGGCCCTGAGGCTTTGTTATTTTCATCTGTTTGAAGGCAGTAGCTACCTCATCCAGGGATGGAAGATAGCTGAGGTGGGTCAGCTCTGGATGCTGAGGCACCTGCTGGGTAGTCAGGACACCCACATCGGTGTTTCAGTTGAGCAGTGAATGGTAGTGCTCTTTCCAGTGCTGAAGGAGGCCTTCATTATCTTTAATTATGAGGTTACCGTCAGCTAAGCGGAGGGAGGCTGCGCTATGAGTGGCCCATAAAATATTTTAGTGGAAATGAAAAATTCGCGCATCTTGTGCTGATCTGCAAGTTTTTGTGCTTCACACGCTTATTTATAAGCCAGTCGTTCTTTAGATTGTGAATTTCCCGCTGGGCTGGCGCTTTCTTCTTGCGGAAGGTATCAGCTTTGGTCAGAGACTGAGGGTTGTTCTGTCAGTCAGAAAACGCAGCACGTTTATTATCGAAGAGTACTTTGATTGCCGGGTCCTGGTGTATTGTTTTGATCTGGCCGAGGGTTTCTCTGCAGGTTTTTGTCATAACAGTATTAAGAGTGTACCATTCTGCACTGGGATTCACGTTGTTTGCTGTTGGGGTGTTTGTAAGCCCATGTTCGAGCTGCTCTCTGAAAGCATGTGCTACTGCTGGATCCTCCAGACGCTTAGTATTAAAACCTCTTCTGGAGGCTTGCTGCCTTCGCCGTTTTGGGGCGACGTGAAGTGAGAGGTTGGATCTGCCAAGTCGATGATCAGTGTCACAGTGGTCTGAGCCACGCATGGCATGGGTGATGAGGAAGATCGGCTCATTAGCCGCTTGGGCGATCGGTCACGTCTCTGTTACCCACTGTTGGCAAGTACTGGGGATGCACCGGCTCCTGAATGTACCTGAACCCGCTCCAGTGTTGGTCAAGGACTCAAGTCTTGTCTTGAAAGAGCTCACACTCGGTGCCGTCACAACACTTTCTGGCAGATTGTTCCAAGAGTTCACAACCCTCACTCCGAAAAAGTTTGCCCTCACAGTTTTCTGTACTTGCGGCTTCTTCAATCTATTAACACCTTTGAATCCTCAGGTGGTCTAATTTCTGAAATACATAGCTGAAAAACGTATAGTTCACTGACAAACTTTTACTATTTGAACTTTACGATGTTGGATCTCCCGCGCGTGTCCGGGAGCCATGATTGGTCGGGCTCGTCATTATCTGTGGAGTGTGGACATCATCATTGCGCCAAAAATGAAAGTGGAGCTAACAGCCAATGGAGATGAAATCTCCCAACAACCGAGGTAAGTAATAATTTTGATTAAATCATATTTTTTTTTATTTTACGATCCTGTATCGTCATAAATTTATGAATGACGTGAAAGTGTTTATTAACAGTGTGTGAGAGCAAGCAGTAGTTATAAAACCTCTCCGGCCTCTGATAATTTTTAATGTTAAAAAACACCACGAACATATCTTCAACACTCTATTTTCTTCAAACATGCACCATTAAGCTTGCTTAATTTTATCTGTATTAACATAATTATAAATGGATAGTTTGATGTGTTAAAATATATTTAGTATGATCAGTTCGTATACAAAATAAACGTCAGCTTGGGCTTTTCCGTGGTATTTTCATAGCATTAGCCATCTTGCTCCCGCCGCCCAGCTGATGGATGTCAACAAACTTGGCGCCGAAATCGTATTAGACGAGAGGACGAGGAGCACAGGAGAAAGCTACCGTATAACATTTAATTCGTGAAAATTTTGCCATGGACTTGGTGGTACAGTCAGGGTATGTTTAAATGCTACACCTAATGATCAATTTGTAGACTTTAAGGAAAAAAAAGATTAACATAACCTAGTGTACATGATTATATGGCTGCTTTGACAATTGCTTGTAATTGATATTTAACGTGATCAGAATTGTTGGACAAGCTGCCTAGTAGAATTGATTAAACTTAATTTAAGATTAAAATTAAATATATAAACTAAGTTTAACAAACTTAAATTTTGTATAAATCTAACCCATTTTAATCATACCTTACTCGATCTTGACAATTCCAGGGCAGGGTCTCAAAGTTTGGGACATAACGTGTCGGTACTTAAATTACGTAGAATTTGAGTATTTGTCAAGAATATTTAGTAGTGATGCCTACTTATGAAAAGTATTTGACAAAATCTACCATGTACAGTAAATTGTAGGATGGGCAATTGTGTCCACCTGTTGCATGCCCGAATAAGAAATGTGGACATTTCTCTATAGAAGATAAATGCTTTCTTTTGTAGAGGATTTGTTTTTTTTGTTTTTGTTCTTATAGATAATAGAAGATGATAACTATTATTTAGGTTAGTTCATCTTATGAATGAATAGTTCCTGACTTGGTGAACAATTTCACCAGTTATTCCTGGCAGCGGGTCCGACTAATTACCCAAATGTACCCAAATGTAGCCGCAATGAAGTCAAATAATGGTCCTACATGAATAAATCGGACTGCCAATCACTTCTCGACGAGTATTTGGTGTCACAAAGTAAAAAAAAATTGGAAAACGTAATTTAATCTGAGTTAATAGATCGCATGCATGTACCGAGGGAGCGAGTAATTACCCAAATGTAGCCGCAATGAAGTCAAATGATGATCCTACAAGAATAAATAGGACTGCCAATCACTTCTCGACTGGTATTTGGTGTCACGAAGTCACAAGAAATTGGTAAACTTAATTTAATCTGAGTTAATAGATCGAGTGCATGTACCTAACCTAACCTAACAACTCAGATTAAATTAAGTTTACCAATTTTTTGTGACTTTATGACGCCAAATAATAATCGAGAAGTGATTCACAGCCCGATTTACGCTTGTAGGACCATCATTTGACTTCATTGCGACTACATTTGGGTAATTACTCGCTCCCTCGGTACATGCATGAGATCTATTAACTCAGATTAAATTATGTTTTCCAATTATTTTTTACTTTGTGACACCAAATACTAGTCGAGAAGTGATTGGCAGTCTGATTTATTCATGTAGGACCATTATTTGACTTCATTGTGGCTACATTTGGGTACATTTGGGTAATTAGTCGGACTGCCTGGCAGCTGCTTGTCTATACCCACCACCACAATATTGTAAGAAAAAAAAATATTGATACCCTAACCTAATTTAAAATAATAACTTATTTACTTAATGGCCACGCTAACTAGAAGTAGCCATGCCAAGGAAAAAAGGGCCAGTGGCCTGTGTAAGGTCCTTCCATTGTTATTGATAGTCTTGTCAAGGAATGGCATTTTTGAAGCCAAGTACTGTTTTCATTTCACAGCTTGAGCTGGTAGACTGTTCCATAGGTCTACCACCCTCTGTCAAGAAGTATTTCCTTATTCAGTTCAGTCAGCCTATAGGAAACATCATTCAAGTAAAACTGCCTTATGTAAAATTCATAATGATTTGGAAATAAACACAAGCACAGGAAAGTCCTTCCTTATGGTCTTGCTAGATCTCTGCAGATTTTGACACGGTGGATCATCATCAGTTGCTTCAGGATCTTTGGTTGTTTGGGTTTCCATCAGAATGCACTCTGCTTGAGTCTTATTTGTCAAAGCGATCTCAATGTGTGATGGTTGGTGGAACTATTTCAGGCCCGGTCTCTTTGCAGTTTTGAATCCCACAAGGATCAGTTTTGGGACCACTTCTGTTTACAGTCTATACCAGTAGTCTTGCAATGGGATGCTCTTGGTGTTGCCAACCATTTCTATGCTGATGAGACATAACTTTATGTGAAAATAATAAATGTTGAGGATATTGACGAGATAATGAAATCCTTGATGTCTGATATTAAGATTTGGATTGCTAGCAGAAAACTTAAGCTGAATGATGGCAAAACTGAGATCACTGGTCAACAGCCAAAATGGTTCACATATGAGATCATGCTCACACAACTAATTTCATATTGCTGAATTCGAATCTGATACCCTGTACTTGTTTTGTTCTATCAGACCAGGTTTTATAAAAAAATCAATAGGTACAAATATTTAATATTCCATCACGTGTCGTGCAAAAGATGAGATTATCTCATGTGACTGTGCTTTCATGACTAATTTCATATTAATGAATATTAATTGGATGTTTCATTATACCATCAGACCTACTTTCTTAAAGAATAAAAAAAATAGTAAGTATAGTAACATTATCGCATCATGCAAGATACAATTTTAAACCTATCACAGATAAGCTCATAAAAAATTGTACCAAAAAACATAAGTTCAAATCCTTTATAATGACAAAATATGAAGTTCTAAAAGTGCCTCTGAACTTTACTCTTTCTCTTGTACAGCTTGCTCTCTTCTCGTTGCAGTGTCCAGCAATAGTCGCCCATCATGTTAGGACTGAATTGTCCCTGATATCTGCTCTCCATTATGGCGATATCTTGATGAAATCTTTCGCCGTGTTCATCACTAACGTCTCCAAGGTTACCTGGGAAAAATTCAATATGAGAGTGGAAAAAATGCAATTTCAAGGACATCCTTGCTCCCAATGCATGATAATTCTGAAGCATGGTTGTTACGATTTCTTTGTAGTTGTCAGCACGATAGTTTCCAAGAAAATTCTTTGACACATTGACAAATGATTCCCATGCTTTTTTCTCCAGTGGGTTCAATGTTTTGGTGAATTCGCTATCATTAACTAGTATACGAATTTGTGGTCCATTCAAGACACCTGCTTTCAACTTGGCTTCGGAAACCACACCACCTAGTTTCTGAGATAAGTATAGAGTCCCAGCACCGAATTGATCCATAGCTTTGATGAAATTTTTAGCCAAACCGAGCTTTAGATGCAGTGGAGGCAAAAATATCTTTTCTGGATCTACAAGCGGATTGTGAGCACAGTTAAACCTTCCAGGCGCATCTCTTGGTCTTGTCGGCCAATCCTTTCTCACATAGTGCTCTGCATCAGCTCTGCTGTTCCACAAGCACAAAAAGCACATGTGCTTTGTGTAGCCACTCTGAAGGCCCAGTAGTAAACTGATGACTTTGAGATCGCCACATATCTTCCACTGGTGTTTCTCATACTCTATAGCGGCCAACAGAATTTTCATTGTTTCATAGCTCTCAGTCATTTTTGTTGCGTGTGCTATTGGGACAGATGGAAGCCGATTGCCATTGTGTAAAAGAACAGCTTTCAGAGAGTCTTTTCCTGAGTCTATAAACAGCCTCCAATCCTCTGTCTTGTATGTTTCAGACTTGCAGAGTTGTTGCATGAGAGATACTGCGTCCTCGCAATAACAAAGGTTGTTTGCCATCTTGAAAAATGCAGACAGCTGTCTATGTCGGTAACGCGCTGTAGTGATATGCACTCCATCTTCTAGCAGGTTACGCTGCTTTAGTCTGGATCCCAAAACTTCAGCCTTTTCTTTTGACAAGTTTAGGTCCCTGATGAGATCATGAAGCGCTTCTTGAGTAAATAGTTTAGGCCTGGTATTTTCAGAGTCATCCTGGTAGTCGTTTTCCATTGAGGTAGAGGTAGAATCGGAATCACTCAATTCTTGTTCAGTCGGTGGATTTGGGACTGGAAGTTCAGCACTGTGCGGTACTGGTCGGATTGCAGAAGCAATATTGGGGTACTGTACCTTGCCTCGTGTCTTGATTTTTATTCCCTTAATATTTGTGAGACAGAAGTAGCAGTCACTACTGTGGTCTTTAGGTTCACGCCATATCATTGGTACAGCAAACGGCATTCCTGAACTTCGTTTACCACACATCCACTCGCTCAGGTGGTTAACACAAGACTTACAGGCTACATGAGGTGCCCATTTCTTGTCTTGGTCACCCAAATGACATTTGAAGTAACTTTTGTAGTTCAGTCGAACAGCTTTTGTGATTGGTTTCTTGAGGCTACCAGGAGTGAAGGCACCACATATGTAGCAAAAACTGTCAGCACCGTTCACACACTTGCGACGTTCCATGTTTTGTTAATTTCAGAGTAATTACAAATCATGCAGGTGTAGATATGCAATATCATGAATCAGCAAACTGAAACAAACAAAAAAGCACAAATCAGGACAAAATAATTGCATAAGTGGAGCCAATGAGCATATAAATTACTGTATGAATAGCATGGTACACTAAATATATAGATATGCTGGTTCTGGAAAACTGAGCCTGATACAGCTATACGAATGTCATAATTGAGTTCAGCACATACAATTACACTAGAATCAGACTGTTTTGATCCAGAACCATGAGAATTTTTTTTTATGTTGACCAGTGTTATCATCACCCAAGGAAATAAGAGGGAAGACAGTTCAGATGATTTTGGCTCTTTAAACTTTGGTGAAGTACAACACATTCCTGTCAATTCTGTTTGTAATCTTGGAGTGTACTTTGACTTAAAACTGAATTTTAATGAGCATGTAAATTCAGTAGTTAAGAGTTGCAACTTTCATATTCAAAATATACTGTATATGTTGTTACAGTAAACATTTTTTGGATAGACTGTATCTTGTGACACTATTACATTCACTTATTTTGCCTTGGGTTAACTATTATAACACTTTATGGGTCTGCCTACCTAATTATCTACTGAAAAAAGTTCAAACAGCATTGAACAGGATTGCCAGGCCTACAGGTATTTTTGCTCTCCCACCGAGGACTCCCACTACCCTATTCTTGATTAAATTACATTGGCTTCCAATTAAAGCTAGGATAGAGTTCAAAATTTTCCTAATGACTTTTAAGGCACTTATGTTTGGTGATTTTAAGTATTTGTCAAATCTACTAAATCCTCTGACTACAAGTTCTGAAATAATTTTGCCTAGAGGAGCCTAGAGCAGGACAGGAATGTTCTTTTGTTGCCCGGTCTTTTTCCTATTTAGTACCTAGATTGTACAATCAGTTGCCTGCTTCCATGAAGCAGCTGACTTCTGTGAAGGCCTTTAAGAAACAACTTAAAACCTTTCTTTTTTTTGTGAAAGTATGTTCCTGAAAAGGGTACAGTGATTGAGAATTACATGGTTTAGCAAGTACAGTATATTAAAATGTAAAGGTACAGCACATGAATGTAAGAAGCTGAACTGTCACTTTGTGAGCTTTTATTGTAGTACAGTATATATTTCTTTTCATTCTCAAGTTGTGTTTTGAGTGCTTGTGAATTCTTTAGAAGAACTGGCACTTTTGATAAACATAAGAGTAAGACCGGCTATTATTAGTATTTGTCCTGCATGATATCTTGGCAAGTTAGAAGTTGATGGTGCATGACATCACGAAAAAAATGGTCCGAGTTTACGTTTTCCATCCACTTCAAGATTTTGGATGCCCTTTTGAGATCCACCCTATTGTCTGAAGAGTTGCTAGTCCTAAGGCTCTCAGTCAACTTGGATAATTGAGATGATATGTATCAGGAATCATCTTAGTCACTGTGTGTTTTACTTTGTCTAGGGATGTTATGTCTATCTGAAGGTATGGTCTCCATGCTTGTTGATAGTAACGGTGACCTGTGGTGTAATGGTCAGCATGCTCGTTCCACAGGAGCCGATGTAGCAGGAATGGCCAGGTACTTTGCTGCAAGCCTGGTGAGGGCAGGAAACTCAGGTTGCTTGGCCTTCCAGTAGCCAAGGGGATCACCATCTTCCTGTAGACATGGCTGGTTGAGGTAGAGTGAGACCTCAGTTTCTGATGGAGTTGGTCTTGGTGTAGAAGACCGGTTGGCCAGGGCAAAGAACTTGTTCCGCTTCATCGGTGGTGGTTCAGCAGGGGAAGTGTCTGTTGTTGTAGGATCAACACTGCCTGCCATATTGTATTTCACAGTCAGAAGGTCGCGAATGTCTTTCACTTTATTGTCGTAGTCATGACAGTGTAATATATTATTTTATCAATTCATATCAATTCATTGATATCAATTCCAATTCAATTCAATTCATTTTAATTTTGTATTTTTTCAATTCCAATTTATGGATTTTATAACCAATTCCAATTCAATTCATAATCGACCCCATGTCTTTGATGATTATTTCATTTCTGTTGCTCAACTCATATGTTCTTACTTTTGGTGTTTCTTTTCTGCCTTTTCATTAAAATCATCATTCAAAGATGCTTATATTATCATAATTAACTTTCTCCTAGAACGGTCCTCTGTAACCCTTTAACTTCTTGCAAATACTATCTGTATACCGTAGTTTAGTTTTTTATTTTATTGTTTTGTTCTAATTTTACTTAAAAGGGTAATTGATTTGTTCTATGCCATTTTCAATGTTGGAAAATTATTTTTATTATTTTAATTGTTTTGGTCAATCATTGTAGCTAGAATATTACTCTCCTCAAAGGGGTGAAAACAGCCATTTTTTGGCACACACTGGTTGAGACTGATTGACAAGTGGTTTAGGTACAGGAGGGTCGGGATATATTGTGACTTTATATTACGATTTTTTATATCGTGGCTACCAAAATTATTGACATTTTCCTACATATAGCGATAATTTGTTTTATTTCGCGAGGGAAATCGGGCAGGAAATATTTCAAATGTATCGCGTGGCAAACAAATATGTTATTTGCTCACCAGAAGAGCCACCGTGGCTGCTCACGCTCGCCCGCTCAGTCTTTCTGAGTGAGTGACGAGAAAGCAGCCGATTCTGCTGCAGATTATGAGGTGAGTGTTTAACAGGTTGCTAGTGACTTGAAAAGTGAAGTGAAGATAATGGAAAGCTTAGTGGAAAAGATTTAATACTGTAACTAATATTATTGGTGTTCGTTTATGTAGGTGTGGGATTGTCAAGTGAGGGTAGCAGTGTGGCGTCAGCTGCCGAGTCTGGTGTTCCCAGGATGGTGTGTCAGTTGCCGAGTCTGGTGTTCCTTGATATTGAAATAGCCTGTTGTTCCCGAGTCTAGTGTTCAATGGTGCTTTAGTTAGTAAGAAAATGAACTCGTTAAGTCAAGTTTAGTCACTTTTTTGGCCTCCAAAACCTAACCCTATTTTTCCCCAATGATTACATGTACAGTAATTATATACTGTATCGCGATTTAGTATATAGCGAACATCGTTGGACCCTATCGCGATATATCCCGACCCTACTGTATTGCGAGAAATTAACCCCAGTTTTATCTGAGACCTATGTTTACCCTATCCTGTTTAAGTATAGTACAGTAAAACTTCTATTTAACAAACTACAGTATATGTAGGGGAATGTCCAGTAAGTAGAAGGTCCATTAAATATGAAACCTCCATTTAATGGATTATATGGAGAAGAGAGTCTGTTAGTTCAAGGATCCATCATATGTAAAACTATCATCTTATGAATTTAAGTACAGGAGAGAGAAGTCCGTTATATGGGGGTTTCACTGCACAGTATAGCTAAAAAAAAGTACTGGCAATTATTGTATATTTTGTATTATCAGCTCTTTAGTGTAATCTACAACATCATCATATATTCATTACAGAAAGCGCAGTTATGATAAGGAGAATAGCAACAGTAACATGAAGTGCACAAGATGGAGTTTGGGTGGTGATGTTAGCACAAACCCTCCACTGCTGGCAGACATGGGTTTGTCAATACTTCAAGATGAGGAGAGTATAGGAGGACCCACACCTACACCACCTGTCACACAAGTTAATGAAGACAAACCTCCACCTCCTCCAAAGGTCTGATTTTAGCTGTAACTTTAGAGCCACATACACTTTTTTAGATTCATTTGCCAGTTGATTAACCAGAATTAAGATTTGCCCACTAACCTTCAACTTCTGTACATTTTAATTTTAAAACTTTGACATCAGTTAATGCTGGGTCTGCATTTTTTCAGTACCTGGCAATTACAAGAGGTTTGCATTTTTTATTTGTTCACCACATTTAAACTAATCATTTTTTATGTTATTCCCACTGAGGCTCCGAGGGCTTCCACATCTCTGCAGAACCCTTGTGGCCATAGTTTGTTTTGTTGCCATATGGCAAACAAAAATTGTGACCAAGTCCCAGGTTGCTGATCTGACTTTCTGCCCCATTTACACACAATTGCAGGGTTTCAATTGTTTCTCTTAATTTGACAATACAATATACTGTATAGACATCGTTTTGCACTACAGTATTAATCTTTTTAAAAAATTTTGTATTTATTTATTATTATTATTATTATTATTATTATTATTATTATTATTATTATTATTATTATTATTATTATTATTATTATTATTATAATTTTGCCCCCAGGTCCTGATGTGGGTCATTGACCTGTGCCCTGGTGGGCTAATCCCCCCAAAAATAACACACACACACACACGCACGCATGCGCACACACACGGGTTACAAATGAGTTCCGTTCCTGTGGACGTTCTTATGTTGGAAATGTACTTAAGTCAGAACACATACCGCATGTTCACTATATCATAGCCCAAGTCCTTTTATGCATCTTGAATCACTTAATTTAAGGGAAAAGAAGAAATTGAATGACAAAATACAGTAAAGAAAACTAAAAATTAAAGTTTGACACTTACATTGAAACCTGGGGCTGGCTTGCATGTAGAGATGGGCATTTGTAGGAGTGACAGAGGCTTTATTGGGGTGAAACTGAAGATGGTAATGATGGTGCAGCAAGTGAATTCCCTGCTGCTTTAGCTAAAATAATTTAAGGGGGGATTATTGTGCTGAGCAAGTTTATAATTTTGATAAGACTGGTTTATTTTGAAAAAGGATGCCTGAACTCACGTACCTTTCAGAACATGAAAAAACAGCACCAGGGCATAAAGCTGCCAAGGAGAGGATGACCTTACTGTGGTGTTGGGGACTAAAACTAAAACCTTTGCTTGTCTACTAATTAGAATATATATATATATATATATATATATATATATATATATATATATATATATATATATATATATATATATATATATATATATATATATATATATATATATATATATATATATATATATATATATACAGTGACCTCGTTTAACGAACACCTCGGTTAACGTAATTTCGATTAACGAACTGCCTTCCATAAGGATCTTCAATTCGGTTAACGAAAAAAAATTCGGTTAACGAAGTTCTTACGAACCGACCTCAACATGTTTTCGCTTGCACTGACCGGGCAACCAGCTTTAGTATCAGTCCGCCAATACATTAATCGGTTCTAGGGCTTAAATTCCTTACTATTTTAGTAAATATCAAGAAGTTTATACTATTCAATAATTTTAAAAGTTTAATATTCAATTTTTTAGTCATTTTAACAATTATTGAACATAATTGAAGGTAAAGTGACTAGTTTAATCGCGGCATCCAGCCTCTTAACACAGCAAACAGGAGTTAGTCTCTCTCTGTTTTCACTGGAGGTAACATCTTGCTTGAGACTCTCTTCAACTAAACGCTTTTTTTCTGTGTTTCCAAGCAAATTATTGGTCATTTTGAAATATATTTTACATATTGACAATATATAATGCAGTGCAGTGTTGATTTAAAGAAAATAATCTTGAATTACACCAGAGAGCTAAAATTTTATGGGTGAAATGGCGCCATGGGGTGACTTCTCTTCCACCCCAATGCCTTCTCTTCTTCCTTCTCCTTCACTCCCATTCTAAATCCCATCATCATCATCATCATCATCATCATCATCATCATCATCCAGGAGCCTTCTACATACACACCTCAAAGTAAGTGAACTTTTCTACCACTTTTGTTGAATTTAGGAAATTTTCGGTGAGCTGGAACCAATTACCCAAAAACCCATTGAAACAATGGTTTCGGTTAACGAACGTTTCGGTTAACGAACGACCTTCTGGAACTGATTGAGTTCGTTAACAGAGGGGTCACTGTATATATATATATTACTGTATACTGTATTTCTTTACATATTTTATTGATATTTAAATGGTGTGTAACTATTTTTTATTAACTATGTTTATGACTGCACCAACAACAATCAATATAACTTTATTGAAAACATAATACTGTACAGTAATTGAGTTAATATAGGTAATTACAGTATTGTGCCTAGAATACAGTATTCATTTAAAGTTATTTCTGTAGATACTGTATAAAGTATTATAATTATTTTCATTCTTGGAAATTGCAAATTCTCTCGTCTGAGGATCTCCCAGGAACCCTGATCAAAGTTAAAGGGTTAATATTTATGATCTACACTTAGTATTTGAGTAATTTTGTGGAACTTTATTTTGTGGTTGCAGTGTTGTTTGATTTAATTGTCTTTAAATTTCAGGAATGTGCTGGGGATTTTGTTAATTTTGTCTTTCATTGCAGGTGCTACAACAAACTAATCAGAATGTACTTAGTCATGGAACCTTTCTTCCTGATGACTCTGGAAATGAAGAAGAATTTTTTGTTTATAAACGTAGAAGATTAGATGCTATTGGAGGGGATGGTAAGTACAGCCACAAACCCAAATGCATCAAACAATCTTCAATCTTCTGTTTACAAGTAATTTGTAGTGCTCTTAGATTTTTTTTTTAATACCTATCAACTTTTATATAAAATTATTCAGTTCTACCTTTTGGAAAATCAGAATTAATGTTTTGTGATTTTAATGTTTGTACATATGATTATGTAGTCAGACTCTCTTTGTACAGTGTAATACTTTGTAAGCTATTTTTTATGTATTTTCCTATCTTTGTATTTTTTCCACCCTTGTCCTTTACATGCCTTTTCCTTCCTCATGTTCTAATTTTCCTTCATTTTTGGATCAATATGCAACTCATGTTAATCAATAGCATCCTGTGTATAGCAGTTCTTCATTTCTATAAGATATTATTTTTTTTAAAGATTATAATTTTATTTTTTCCAGATAAATTTAATCGAATGTCAGATGAGTTGATTTTGTCAGTTTTCCGATGGCTTCCAAAGTTCATGTTGGCTAGGTGTGCCCAAGTAAATAGAAGATGGAAGAGATTAGCATTTGACGAAACGCTATGGCGAAGACTTGATCTTGGAGGAAAGACACTTAAGCCTGGAGTTGTAGGCCGAGTCATTCTCAGAGGATCCAGTGTTCTCAGACTGGCTAAAGCTGAAGTAAGTCTTCACTGATGAGTGCATTATTGCCACAACAAAGAATTTTAAGAATCTAAATTTCAATAATTCAAATTTACTGTACTGTATAATAGTGTATATGTTGTTTGTACACCATGTACAGTATTACAGTAAGTCCTTGCTTAACGTCGGGGTTACGTTCCTGAAAACGTGACGTTATTTGAAACAATGTTAAGCGGATCAATTTTCCCCATAAGATAGGGTTGCCATATCTGAATATTAAAAAAAGAGGACGCTCCCGAAGATATCCCCCCCGCCCGGCACACACAGGCGAATATACAACATACATGGTATAGAAATCTTAAAAAAAAAAAAAAAAACCTTTGCTTAAGGCTGAATATCTTCATTCCCTTAGCTGCAGTCTTCTTCCCCCACTGTGTGTGACTTGATGTGCCCATGCATACTTTTCTGTAGATCGGATCTTTTTCAGTATTGGCTGATTGCTCTTTAGAAAGGTATAGAAGTCACTGCAAGATGTTTCTCGGAAGTTGTACTGTACAGTCAGAATGCCTTTCATTGTTTCAATACTCAATTTGTTTCTTTCCTTTGTCCATTGACTTTGCATCAGTGAAAAAACTCTTTCTACATTTGCATTGTGAGATGATATAGCAAAGAAGAATTGTGCAATTCTTAGCAATTCTGAGTGGCATTCAATGTTCTTTGATTTTTCAAAGTATCTGGTCCACTTTTTATGTGTTGGCAGATTACTAAATTTTTCACCACTCTTGTAATTTTCCACAAACTGCTTCAGGTTATTAACTTGGTCAAAACACTTCATCAACTTCTACCCCCTTATCAATCAAATATTTGACAGCTCTCTCTCTCTCTCTCTCTCTCTCTCTCTCTCTCTCTCTCTCTCTCTCTCTCTCTCTCTCTCTCTCTCTCTCTCTCTCTCTCTCTCTCTCTCTCTCTCTCTCTCTCTCTCTCTCTCTCTCTCTCTCTCTCTCTCTCTCTCTCTCTCTCTCTCTCTCTCTCTCTCTCTCTCTCTCTCTCTCTCTCTCTCTCTCTCTCTCTCTCTCTCTCTCTCTCTCTCTCTCTCTCTCTCTCTCTCTCTCTCTCTCTCTCTCTCTCTCTCTCTCTCTCTCTCTCTCTCTCTCTCTCTCTCTCTCTCTCTCTCTCTCTCTCTCTCTCTCTCTCTCTCTCTCTCTCTCTCTCTCTCTCTCTCTCTCTCTCTCTCTCTCTCTCTCTCTCTCTCTCTCTCTCTCTCTCTCTCTCTCTCTCTCTCTCTCTCTCTCTCTCTCTCTCTCTCTCTCTCTCTCTCTCTCTCTCTCTCTCTCTCTCTCTCTCTCTCTCTCTCTCTCTCTCTCTCTCTCTCTCTCTCTCTCTCTCTCTCTCTCTCTCTCTCTCTCTCTCTCTCTCTCTCTCTCTCTCTCTCTCTCTCTCTCTCTCTCTCTCTCTCTCTCTCTCTCTCTCTCTCTCTCTCTCTCTCTCTCTCTCTCTCTCTCTCTCTCTCTCTCTCTCTCTCTCTCTCTCTCTCTCTCTCTCTCTCTCTCTCTCTCTCTCTCTCTCTCTCTCTCTCTCTCTCTCTCTCTCTCTCTCTCTCTCTCTCTCTCTCTCTCTCTCTCTCTCTCTCTCTCTCTCTCTCTCTCTCTCTCTCTCTCTCTCTCTCTCTCTCTCTCTCTCTCTCTCTCTCTCTCTCTCTCTCTCTCTCTCTCTCTCTCTCTCTCTCTCTCTCTCTCTCTCTCTCTCTCTCTCTCTCTCTCTCTCTCTCTCTCTCTCTCTCTCTCTCTCTCTCTCTCTCTCTCTCTCTCTCTCTCTCTCTCTCTCTCTCTCTCTCTCTCTCTCTCTCTCTCTCTCTCTCTCTCTCTCTCTCTCTCTCTCTCTCTCTCTCTCTCTCTCTCTCTCTCTCTCTCTCTCTCTCTCTCTCTCTCTCTCTCTCTCTCTCTCTCTCTCTCTCTCTCTCTCTCTCTCTCTCTCTCTCTCTCTCTCTCTCTCTCTCTCTCTCTCTCTCTCTCTCTCTCTCTCTCTCTCTCTCTCTCTCTCTCTCTCTCTCTCTCTCTCTCTCTCTCTCTCTCTCTCTCTCTCTCTCTCTCTCTCTCTCTCTCTCTCTCTCTCATATTACAGTTTTCATGTTTTTTTCCGTGGAGAAAATGATGGATGCTGAAATTCCGGACTTTTGAAGAATTTTAAAAATTCCTTCCGGATGAAGATTTCGAGACCTAAATGGAGGACATGTCCGGGAAAATATGGACGTATGGCAACCCTACCATAAGAAATAGATAAAATACGGGAGTTACGTTCCTGGCCTTCCTTTGCCCCATGAAATACATTACATATACAGAAAATCATTGCTATTTCTATAGAAAATAGTGCATGCATGTACAACTACTAAGTTTGTTTTGGTACTCACCGATGGGCGGAGGTGGTAGAGCAAGTGTGTGGTGGGTAGTGGAGTGGAGGAAGGCAGGAGAGGAGGAGGGTGGTGAGTCACTGAGACCCAGCGGGTGGTTCCTCCTCCCTCTCAAAACTGTTAAAACCTCCATTTTCGTAGCAAGGCTAATGGTCTTATGTTGCTTCTTCACTACACTAGCATCAGTAACACTTGATGGGCGCTTGGAAGCCATTTTGAATGGTTAGAGTACAGTATTAAGAGCAAAAACACTTAAAACACGCACGAACGCTGTGGAAGGCTAACAAAGACTGGCGTCGCTTGGGGTTGCTGTGACGTTCCGCGCTGAGAGAGCATAGCGTGGCAAGACGATAGAGGGTGATGCACCATAAAAAGTAGTCCGTGACGACGCAAAACGACATTGTACTGAGTCATCGGGACGTTAAACGAATTTTGGGTATCTAAGGGTTAGCGACGTAGTACCGAAACAACGTTAAGCGGGCCAACGTTATACGAGGACTTACTGTACTGTATTATTGATGCTTGTAAAAAATAATATATGTAAGGTTTTCTCCTTGTAAAATTTTCATTTCAGAATTACATTGCTGTGTTTTTGAACTAGTTTCTATTGCTGACACTTAAAATTTTGTAAATAAAAATTTTCATTATTGCATTGATGGAAGGCACAAAGGGCAGTGAGGCTGAGTGATAGCCAAATATATGAATGCCCCTGTAGAGTTAAGAAAATACAAAAAGAGCTTGATTAATACTCATCGTCTTGGATGCAACTTACATACAGTAAGTCCTTTCTTATTGTCGTCCCGCATAACGTTGTTTCGATGCTAGGTCGCTGAACTTTAGAGACGAAAAATTCGTTTAATGTCCTGGTGATCCGATACTACATCGTTTTGTGTCATCATGAACTACTTTCTACGGTGCATCACCCGCTCTTGTCTGGCCACGCTACGCTCTCTCGGATCGGCGCGTTGCCCTCACTCGTGGAACGTCACACAAAACACATACACATACAGGTAAATAATAATGGGAAAATCCTCACAAATAATCAGAAACAAATGCAGTATTAAAATGTTGAGTCTACCCTCAAGTCTATTTCGTGCTTTATTAATAATAAAACACGGAGTAGACTGAGGGTAGACTCAACATTTTTAATACTGCATTTGTTTCTGGTGATTTGTGAGAGGATTTTCCCATGATTATTTGTTTTGTGTGCTTGTGTGTCTACACACACACACACATATATACAATACAGAAAAAATAATTGTCCTAGAGACAAACACATAAATTAAATATACATTTCTTTGTACGCAAGTAAAAATGTAACACATGTAACCCCCCCCCCCTCCGGTCAGTAAATGTTATTCGCAGATTTGGTGATTCGTAGCCATTTTGAGAACCTAACCTGCGAATTTGAAGGGCATGCTGTACTGTATTTCCTTTTAGTTCAGTGAATATTGTGAATGAAGTTTTAAATAAACCCCATTATCATGACTCATCATCCCTATTGAGTGCTGAAGAGCAACAAACAATTGAATATACGTAATTTATCCCACAGTGATAATTAATGTACTACAGTATTTGCACACTAACCTGGCCTGTAAGCCATGCCCCTCTTGTATAAAAATAGCCGATTGGTTCAAAGAAAAGGTTCACGTAGCTGTCCTTTTATTCAAACTAAATATGTTCACAATTGGTGAGCGGACCTGTTATTCTCTAAAATAATGTTAAATATCTGGACTATCAAAATGCAAATGATTTCAAGGCAGTAGCACTTCAGAGAGGATGTTTGAAAATTTTAAATATTTAACATAAAAGGGGGGTCTCGGATAGTGAGCACTATGACCATGAAAATGTTAAGACCGTTTCACACCAGATGTGATGCTAGCTCCGCTGCGGATGGAAATTGCGTGGCTTTGAATTGCTTCCGTTATTTTCAATGAGGCTGTTCAGACCGGATATGTACCATCCCAGATTGCCTCTTCATGATTTTTCTCGGCGTGGCTTCATCACGCATGTGCACTAGAGCATTTTGGCAGTCTGGGACTGACAGTTGAGAGAGACGGCAGCTAGCACCCTGCTTCAAGGTCATTCCCAACCATATTATCATTTACTTTTGTGTGAATATGTCATATGACATTTTAAGTTAAGTACAGGCTAATATTAATAAACTTCATGCAAGTATATTTTCGGTTTACCTTAACTTAAGGTAATGTCCAGCCTTTCCTTTGGGCTTATGGACTGCCTGTAGTTTGTATTTTGTTTCTTGATATCATTTTCAATTATTAATAGAACTTCATTGAATTGAGCATGGGACAATCTGAAATATTGTCTAAATTTTTCTTCATTAACTGAAAGCTCCTGCATAAGATGATGATATTTGCCAAAGTTTGGTCTTTTCACATTTGTTTCATGAACCAACTTTTTTCTTTTCTTAAGCATTCCTGAGAGTCAGCAGTAAAATTTCCTCCTCTTCATAAAACTACTGTGCACTGCCCTTCATCTTGACTGATGCAGTGATACTGAATATCTCCTGAAATATATGGCTTGCATATTATCCACTGTGAACACTCGCACAGTAAACACCGCGACCGAAAATCCGCAGCGTACCTGGCATCGCATCCAGTGTGAAAAAGCCTTTAAGATTACCGTAGTTTTATATTTTGGTAGATTAGCTAATATTGTCCATTCAAGAAATAACATCCATTTTATTATTTCCAGTGTGCCATACGACAGAATTTATGCTCTTTTTCATTCTGTCTATCCAACTGTTATTGGGAACGTGGACGTTAATCAATTATGACAGCTTCTACACCTAAAAATCTCACATATAGGTGTCATTGGAGACAACTATCCTGAAACAAGTATCAACTATTTACAACAGAATTTCCTCAATGTATGAGTTTACAGGAATCATGTTATTTCCCACTTTTGTATTATCCTTATATATATTGTCTTCAACTCAGGTGGGCAGCCCTATATTTTCACCTCAGCTGCACTATTTACCAAGTCTGCCACCAGTAAGAAGTAAGCTGCAGCACCTTGATCTTAGTATGGCTGCCATTGATCCACAAGGTAAGTGTTCAAATGTTCAAATGATACTATAAATTGGACCACTTGATTTTGTTTTATGAAATGAGATGACGACCCAAGCTAATTTAACCTAACCAATAAACTGGCCTAAACTAGTCTTGACTTCCCCCTAACCTCACCAAATGTGGTAACCTGATCTAAGCAAACTTAACACAATCATCCACAATCTTTCTGGTCATCTTCCCCTTATCTTCTCATCATCCAGTATAATGTAGTGGCCTTTATTTGGTCATTGTCCATGTGTAGAGACCAATATCTGGTTGCCTTTTCATGTTTATACTGTAATTTCCTTTGATATACCTGATAAACATTTTTCATATAATAATTTAATATTAGAAGGACCCACTATACTTCTTGGGTGAGTGAAATTTTAGAGGATTTTACTGATTTCTATTGGCAGTTTATTGATCAGGTAATGATAGGAAGACATTCTCTTGGTTGTCATAAGTGAAGATGAGAACATACAGAATACATCAAAAAGCATTTGTCAGATCTTTAATCTGACTAGTGAAGTGTGCTGGGGCCTTATATGATTATAAAATAAATATTGGTTAAAAAATGAAGTACTTTATATATATATTTCATGTATACAAGCATGTATACGAGTACTGTAATTGTATTATACTGTGATAAGAAGAGATTAAATTTATCTTTGAATTAGTCCTTTTATTTTCATTTATATTTCAGCTCTTGAAGAATTATTGAGTGTGTGTTTTGATCTCAAGAAGTTAAGCTTGGAACACTGCATTCTCAGCCAGTCCATCTGTTCACATATTGCTAACAACCAAAAGCTGGAGACCCTTAATCTGGCAATGTGTTATGGATTGTGTCATGCCTACCTTGTTAACATACTCAGCCACTGCAAAAGGTGAAGACAAAAAGAATATCCTTTATATATTTTTTAGCTTGGCTCTTTTAGCTGTAGGTATCATTCTTTTATCACCATCATCCAGTCTCAGCTGTTCACATTCAGGTTTCAGACAGCCTTCTGGATGATTTTGAAAAATTCTTTGGGTGAGCCTTGGATTAAATTTATAGACTCCTCTGTTACTGATTGCAAAATATGTGTGAGTTAATGCACTCTGTAATTAAGGTAGGTGTAATTTTTTTTTTTTAATTCACTAAATTTATCTTTGAGGATATCTGGTTTTGTATCCACTACTTCATTTATTTACATACAGTAGTCAGTCTTAGAAGTTAAACATGCATGTAATTTTTATGTACATCGATGCGCCATGTTTGGTTAAAAGAATTACACTGACATGATTAAATGTCCAAGACATAACATTATTTCTTGAAATAATTACCATTGCATGTTTCATTTTGATTTGGCTCTGAAACCATGCCAGTAGTTGGCACTAAAAGTTAATAGTTTAAGATTGAAATGTGGAACACCAAGCATGTGTATGAGAAAATAGAAATAAAGTATTTTGATAGATACAAGTAATCAGAAAAGTAATGGAGAACAGAGATGTGAAAGTCATAATCTTGGAAATATTAAGTGGAATTTGAGCTTGTGTAACAGCAATCACAGTATGGTGCTGCACTCTGATTGTGGACAAAAGAAGGACTTTTCTTGGAGTATTGTATCCTTGGGCAAGCAGCAAAGGCTAACTCCATTTGTTATAACAAAATAATTTATTTGGCTCTGGTGACCACATTGACCTAATTTTAGATTCCTAATCCTAAATGTTTTATAAAACAGAAAAAAAAATCTGACTTGTCATGCCAGCTGCAATGTGGAAAATCATAAAAGTGATGAAAATGTCCAATTATAGTCTTGATTTACTGTTTGGAATGGATTAGAGGATTCCTACATATCAATATTGTAGGTAGCATAATTTTTTCTGCTTCAATACGAGAAAGTTGACAGTTTCCCTTACCTGATAGCCTCACCAGCATAATTAATTTTTGAAGCAAATGTGTCAAATACTTGTATAGTCTTTAGATAAATAGATAATGGATAGGTATTCTGTAAAATAATTATAAATTCACATTGGTTAAGCTTGTATATTGACACTGCAGGCATACATTGTACAGTCATGAACAAAAGTTTGTCCCGTGCAGTGAGACCAAGTCACAGGAATGAGTCTAAACTGACTTACCCTTACTGTCATCTGGTTTGGGTGTGCTGTTTTAACTCATTTAGGGTCGACACTGTTTCAGTTTAGGAGGGAGAGAACTTTTGTTCACGACAGTACATGATCAGGCACACAACGTACATAAACAATGGAGTTATACTGTACAAACAATGATGATAATAATAGTATTCAGTAAAACCTTGATAAATGGGAATTCGTGTTTTTCGGACAGATGCCCTGGTCACCAAAAATACTAAAAAAAAGGGGGGGGGGGAGATTAAATAAAAAACTGATGAAATGAATAACACTTAATGAATACTGTACAGTGGTCTAATCAGATTTGTTATAGGCCTACTGAGTACTAAGACACTGTGAGCAGACTAGGGCTGATCAGGTGTTGCCATATTCGTCAGATTTATTTATTTATTGATTCAGTATTATATTCTCATTTGATTGGCCTCTTATGGTTTTTGGTTCATCATGATTAATATAACATCTTCAGTAATAGAGAAAAATACAATACAGTGACCCCTCAGTTAACGAACTCAATCCGTTCCAGAAGGTCGTTCGTTAACCGAAAAGTTCGTTAACCGAAACCATTGTTTCAATGGGTTTTTGGGTAATTGGTTCCAGCTCACCGAAAATTTCCTAAATTCAACAAATATGGTAGAAAAGTTCACTTACTTTGAGGTGTGTATGTAGAAGGCTCCTGGATGATGATGATGGGAATTAGAATGGAGGTGGAGGAGAAGGAAGAAGAGAAGGCATTGGGGTGGAAGAGAAGTCACCCTATGGTACCATTTCACCCATAAAATTTTAGTTCTCTTAGTGTAATTCAAGATTATTTTCTTTAAATCAACACTGCACTGCATTATATATTGTCAATATGTAAAATATATTTCAAAATGACCAATAATTTGCTTGGAAACACAGAAAAAAAGCGTTTAGTTGAAGAGAGTCTCAAGCAAGATGTTACCTCCAGTGAAAACAGAGAGACTAACGCCTGTTTGCTGTGTTAAGAGGCTGGATGCCGCGCATTAAACTAGTCACTTTACCTTCAATTATGTTCAATAATTGTTAAAATGACTAAAAAATTGAATATTAAACTTTTAAAATTATTGAATAGTATAAACTTCTTGATATTTACTAAAATAGTAAGGAATTTAAGCCCTAGAACCGATTAATGTATTGGCGGACTGATACTAAAGCTGGTTGCCCGGTCAGTGCAAGCAAAAACATGTTGAGGTCGGTTCGTAAGAAATTCGTTAACCGAATTGAAGATCCATATGGAAGGCAGTTCGTTAACCGAAATTCTGTTAACCGTGGCGTTCGTTAAACGAGGGGTCACTGTACTGTATGTAATTTGTAATAAGACTTAAAAATAAAATGATAAGCTGTATCACAAGGTTGTTTACTGATGAATACATGTGAGAGATTTCAGTAGACCAGCTTACAACAGGGGTCACTATAACACACTGTATAGTATTTGATATGAAGATGCCTTCCTAAAAAACGTTATCTACTACCTTTGAGTGTTATATGATGACTCAGTTTGGCTACTTGTATTTAGACATGATTAATGAATATACCAGGGTATATGCAGATGCATAATACTTTACACTACAATATTACTTATTAAGTGATGATAGATACACTACAATGGTATTTATTAAGTGTGATAAATACACAACTGTACTGCACTAATTTACTAAGTCTTGAAGACAGACATTGTGGTAAGCCGATCAGCTGTTTGCTCTTTGTAAACAAATGAGTATGAAATGACTCACGTTCAGTGTGGGATTGTTTTTTCAGGAAAGCTGATTCTTTTAAGATAATATTGTATCGACCTGGCACCAAATGATCCTAAATTATATAAGAATTGTGGTGGAATTGCATAAAGAAGTGTTAAAGGAATCTTGTGGGAGTTAGGGGGAGGGAGCCACCTGCCCATGCTCCCAGATAAACATTCGTCTTCCACATACAATACCAGTATACTCCTACACTTCTTTGTTATTTTTATCTTTATAGTACTGTACAGTACGCAGTTTACTCTTTATTCATAAGACAAATTCTTTGGTTACTTGCATATACCGGTAACACTTTACCGTAAATAACAATCATCTCGGTGACAGACTTACAGGTCTGATTTTGAACCTAGAGAGTTGTTTCATATACTGTATATTTTTTTTATTGTTGATGTTGTATACTTTTAATAACCTTGTTATACACTTAAAGACCTTAGTTGTTGAAATGCAGTAATAACATAACAACTGATTTTCTTTAAACAGTTCAGATAAGAAGTGTTTCCAACTCTCCTCCTCGCCTCCTATATTCGCTTTTCTCGGACTTTTGCATTTTTCTGACTGGGGTCTGCCCCAATAAGTCCGATTTATCGAGGTTCTACTGTAATTTTCATACAGCAGAATTTAGACAATGTAGGTATACACAATAGTTTACAGTGCATTTAGGCTGTGGGAGTACAGTACAGCATACCCTTAAAATTCGCGGGGGTTAGGTTCTCAAAATGGCTGCGAATAAAGTTTGCTGACCAGGGGGGAGGGAACATTTTTATTCGTGTGCAAAGAAATGTATATTCTCTTTATGTGTCTACTCTTAGGACAATTAATTCTTTCACAGTAGGATCGGGATATATCGCGAGATAGGGTCCAAGGATGTTTGCTATATACTAAATCGCAAAATATATTTATATGTAATCATTGGGGAAAATAGGGTTAGGTTCTGGAGGCCAAAGAAAGTGACTAAACTTGACTTAACGAGTACATTTTCTTATGAACTAAAGCACCAATGAACACTAGACTCGGGAACAACAGGCTATTTCAATATCAATATCAAGGAACACCAGACTCGGCAGCAGATGCCACACTGCCACCCTCACTTGACAATCCCACACCTACATAAACGAACACCAAAAATATTAGTTACAGTTTTAAATCTTTCCATTAACCTTTTCATTATCTTCACTTCACTTTTCTTGTCACTAGCAACCCATTTACACTCACCTTAGAAGTCGTAATCTGCAGCAGAGTCGGCTGCTTTCTCGTCACTCACTCAGAAAGACTGAGCGGGCGAGCGTGAGCAGCCACAGTGGTGCTTCTGGTGAGCAAATAACGTATTTGTTTGCCATGGCGGTACATTTGAAATATTTCCTGCATGATTTCCCTCGCTCTGTATAGGAAAATTTTGATAATTTTGGTAGCCGCGACATAAAAAAATCGTGAAATAAAGTCACGATATATCCCGACCCTACTGTACCTGTATTTTATATATGTATGTGTTATTAAAGTTAACTTAAATAATAAAGCACGGAGTTGACTTGAAGGTAGATTCGCATATTTTTTCTAAATTTTGTTGTCTTGTTTCTGATTATATGTGAGAGGATTTTCCCATTATTATTTATAAGTATGTGTTTTGTGTGCATGTGTCTCCACACACACACATACACAATGCAGGTCAAAGAAATTAATGTTTCTAGAACAAATGGCTCTCTGTCCCAGCTGCGAAAATGCCAGCAACTTTAAACTACCCTTAGACATTCTTGGGTACATCCAGGGTGTCATCTGAGAATAATCGAGGTCCACGAATTGTCAGGGAATGCTGTATACAGTTTCCTATGTGCCAAGACAGTGCAGATTTGTATACAACACTGATAAACAGTAAAACAATTTGACAGGATAACCGACAAAACTATTAGTTGCTTATTACCAGAAGTTGAATTAACTAAGGATGGCCCAAGAGCTTTATGGGGTGGGGGATTTATCAGTAATAATAGCTCTACAGAAATAGACATTGTAAATTTTTTACCAATTGTGACAAGCATTCCAGTGTACTTAAGACTTATTGAGACCGGTGGCTGAGTCATCAATACAATATTTCATTAGTCAGTGATACAGAAAATCACTCTTCTCTTGCTGCAGCTTTATCAGCCATGTATTTTTTAACCTAATTACTGGATTTAATATGGTTAGATAAATTATTTCAGGGAGATGATCAGTTGCTGAAATGTTTGAGAGACTCCAGTATATGAAGGCACCCTTATAAAGAACAGAGCACCTATAAGGGGTAAAGAAATCTATTCCTTTGTTAATTTTTTAAGACCATTTGTAGGTACATGATGATTGTGTGGTATACCTGTACACCTATCAGTTATTGACCAAAATAAGGACTTGTAATTTCTTTCCAGGTTACAAAGCTTAAATTTGGCATGGACAGGATTATGTACAGAAGATCTGCGTATGATATGCCGTCGTTTCCCGGCTTCTTTAGAGCGGCTTAATTTGTCTGGTTGCAGAAGTACCTTATCAGATACACGTAAGTGCTACAACTGTTATCTCTCAGTGTTCCATCCCTCCATACCTTATATTATGAGCCATTGTTCATTCTTCTGTTGTTTTAATAGTCAATACTCATGTGAAGTTAGGTCCAACTTCCCTCTCAGTTAATCCAGAGGCTGTTCCTGTTACTTGTCTGTTTAGCATCAACACATAGCTAAAGAAGTAAAGTACCACTAATGTCAACATTTTTACTCAATCGTCCCTTTTCATTTTATTTTTCATTAGTGAAACTCTCTTAACACTTCCCCACTACATTCACCCTGCATGACCTCGAATTAATATAGTACAGGGTGTCCATAAATGATTACCCTAAAAACAGTATGCTCCCATGCTTTAATCAGGGTAATCATTTATGGACACCCTGTATATTGTACACACACACACACACACACAATATCTGCCCCTTTCCTCATTGATACAATATGACACAATGGACGAACAATTCTGATCACTATTTGTGAATCCTTGACAGCTGAACCAAAAATGCTGTACATTGTGTTCCTTTCCAAACACTTCGGACCCAAGTGGGCAAATAGTTTTTGTGTGTGTGTGTGTGTGTGTGTGTACATACATAAGTCTCTAGACAATCTCATATATTCTTAGAGCAAGATCTACTGAGTACAGTAATATCTCCATTAGCAGGAATCCTCTTACCGAAACTCTCTGATAGCCGTAATTGAGATTTTCTCAGAAAATTGTTCCCAGAGCTGAAATTCTCTGGAAAATTCTGGTTTTGGGAACGATTTTTCGGGGGCTCACTTTAATACCAAGAAAATTTTTCCCGGTACCCTGAAAATTTTGAGAAAATTTCCCCATACCCGGAAAATCCCCCTCCCCCCTGTTTCGGGTTTGCCAGATGAAAATGTGGCGCTCTTTACAGAAATTGCAAGAAAATTTTTCCCCTGCCCAGAAAATTCCGTGTTTGGTGGATGTTTTTCCAGCTTTGAGAGATGAAATAATGCATCATTCTGGAAAATTCTGAGAAACTTCTGGTACCTGGAAAAATTCAAGGGATGGGGAATTTTGGGGGGTTCGAGATATGGTACAATGCGCTTTTTCTGGAACTTCTGAGAAATTTTTCCCGGTACCTGGAAATTTTGAAGATGAGGGATTTTTCCGGCTATGAGAGGGTCATCTCGTTACTCGGAAATTTCTCATTCCTGAAGTGCTCTGCACCAATTGTTCTGGCTAATGGGGATAGTCTTTGTGATTTTTGTATATTTGTGTGCATCTCTTTGTATTTTCAAAGACATAAGAAGAGAACCATAAACTAGCTTGAGAATAACAGCAATGCATTTTAAGTAATAAATTATTCCTAGATGTAAGGTTACTGGCAGAGCAGTCTCCTGGCTTGGTAGAGTTGGACATAAGTGATGGAACTCATCTTACTGCAACTGCTGTATCAGCAATCATCCACGAATTACGTCATATTGAGTACTTGGCATTTTCCAGGTGCTACACAATACAACCGGATGCTTATCTGTAAGTAAAAAACAATATTTTTTTTCAATACAGATTGCAACATCTAGCTTTATACCTAGGTATGTAAATGACTAGCATTAACTCTCCAGGCCAACATACAGGCAATTAAAACATCTAATAATTACTTAATTACATAATATTAGGAGGACACGTCGCTACCTGTCATTTAATTGCAATTCTCAAAACCCCCTCCCGCACCCCCCCCCTCATCACACGCATTGCTACCGTCATCTTGCCTGGCGAATAAGCTGTAAACACCTGCAAGGAATGCTCCGCTAATTTGTGTTGTAATAGTTGAAATATTATGTGCCACTAGGATTTTATTTTGGGTATTTATACATCTTAGCACGGTGAGGAAATCTAGTGACTTATTTTGATTATGTCTTGGATATTGTGTTTGCGGCAATTTTTTATACGGTGTGGTCAAGCATGGCGACCACAGCTCGTCTTCTATCTCTGGGAAGACAGGGTGGAATTCTCAGCCCAATAAATCTTGCTAGAGTAATGGTGAATGATGTTAGCTAATGGAGCACTATGGCAGCAACTCAGCACTGTCAACCCTTCCGGGTGACTTGATGCTCACTCAGGCATCATCGCTCATGCATGATTAGTTGAAGCAGTGATATCTGTGCACCCTGATTGGCAACAAATAAGAACTTGGTGATCCCTCAAAATATAAGTGCTCTAAAATGAATTTAGCTTGATTAAGAAACAAAGTTCATTGAGCTGAGGGATAATTGAGATAAGAGAAGGGAGAGATGTATGATATAGTGAGTTAGTTGTTTATGATTGTCACACTGGTGACTTATATAACAATAAGAGATATTAAATGAAATAGCTTACTAAATTATCACAGTTATGAGTCATATTGATTATGTTTGGGAGAAAATATTATCTCCCTTGTATTATTATTATGATACAATGTGACTCATAGTGTTCCTCCTAGTTTAGGTGAGTGATGTGCATCTGGAGGATGAAGGACAGTTGTCTGGACAGTTAGATGACGGAGGAGACCATGGAACGGTCCCTGGGGAACTAGTGTTGCGTGAGGAGCTGCAAGGAATGGATTGCTCAGCTCATACACTACATACAAAGATGTGAATTCAGTAGTAGTAGTTTCACCCATGACCCAAGTGGACTATATACTACATGTAATTATCAAGGATGTAGAGCAACTTGGATAACCAAGTTAGATCCTCATTGGCTTGCATAATTCAAAGCAGCTGTGTCTCAGACATCCTGTTTTCACCATTGGATTATGCAGTTTGTTATGATCAAATTTTTTAAATTAATCAAGCTGCAGGAGATAAAAAGGAATTAACAAAGATCCAAATTAAAAATAGATGGAATAAGGCCTTAACCCTTAAGCCCCGGGTTAGGGTGCTGCTGGCAGTACCCCCCCATGCGGGGTTAAACCGAGAAAAATATCAACCACTCCCTCCCAATGAAGCCAGACAGCTGGGTCGTCTGGGGTGTTGGGAAAACAGGTGGACTTCTTCCATATGGGCTTACAAGACAATCAAAGGGGGCCTCATATGGACTTGGTTGAGGCACCCTCTGCTAGTGTTACAAAAAAAAGGGGGGGGGGGTTAGAAACCAACCCCCTTAATCACAGAATTTGTAATTCAACTGTAAACAGAGGTGTGATAGAACTGTTGCAGTCAGAGAAGTGTTTAATGTCTCACATATTCCCAGTCCCCAAGAAAGGCAGCGACAAATTGAGGTGGATTTTAGATCTTTCCTTCCTGAACTAAGTTCATTAAAAAAAAAAAAAAATCAAGATGCTCACTTATGATCATCTGAAGCATCTACTTCCGCCCAATGCTTGGATCTCAAAATTGGATCTTGAAGATGCCTATTATCACATGCTTGTTGCTCCCAAGTATAGAAAGTTTCTAGTGTTCGCAGTGGGGGATGTAAGTTAGCAATTAACAGTGATGCCATTCGGCCAAATAATTGCGCCAAAAGTGTTTACAAAACTGGCGAACATCCTCAGGGAGATCCTTGCGAAGGAGGGCATAAGAACTTTTGCTTATCTAGACGATTGGCTGATAGTGGGAAACTCTTTCGAAGACTGTCAAAGGGCGACCCAATGTACACTAGAACTAATTTAAATCCTAGGATTAAAGATAAACCAGGTCAAATCAAATCTCCTACCATGTCAGAAATTGGAGTGGTTGGGTCTCCATTGGGACACCAATAAGCAGTCCGTCAGTCTACCAGAAGCAAAAGTTTACAGATGTAATAAACCAAGTAGAAGCCTTTTGTGTAAAGCAAGAGGTTTCTTGGCACAATTGGAAAAAACTACTGGGTCTGTTGAATTTTGCCACCATAGTACAGTAGTACCTTAATGAATGTTAAGGAAGGAGCAACTAACTCATCTGGGGTCGAAGTTGCTTCACAGAAACAAAATTGCTTCTTCTCTCCCTATTCAGATAAAAATTCATCTGCCATGGTGGACAAATTTGGACAATCTAATCGGTTCATCTCCCTGGGTTCCCCCTCAAACAGACGTGGTCGTTTGTACGGACGCATTCGAGATAAGATGAGGATACCATTCCTCAAAAGGAGAGTTCTGTCAAGGGAAGTGGAGCAACTCCCTTTGGGACAAACACATAAACATAAAAGAAGTAGCATTAGTCCTATTCTTTTTGTTGGCAAACCCAAATTTCAAAAACATGTCGTTTCTGTTTGTCATGGACAATAGAGCGGCAGTGTTTTGTCTCAATCATCAAGGCTCAACCATATCTTTGCCCCTTCTCACACTGAAAAAAAAAAAAAAAAAAGTTTGTGTAACCCAAACATTTTACCTCAAAGCAACTCACATACCTGGAGTACAAAACAATTGGGCAGATGCGTTGTCCTGTCTCAGGCCATTATCTACAAAAACAGAATGGTCTCTACAGATATCGAAGTTCATCGAATCTTTTAGGAAATGCTCTACTCAAAGATTAAAACCTTTGGAATTCAATCTGTTCCCACCTGTGAAAATTTTGCCCAAAGTGGTTCAAAAACTCAGAATCTTCCAGGGGAAGGTCCTCTTAATCGCACCATGTTGGATCTGTTGGACTGGTGCCTGCATCCACTATAGTTGCAACAGAGATGTCTAGAACAGGTACTACACCCTCAGTTCGAGATATCCTTGACACTTCACGCTTGGAGTTTCTCAAAAGATGTTTAAATTGATTGTTGGGTAATTCCAAAATAGTTAACCAAGTGATAGTAGGTCATAGACCCCAAACTTCTATGCAATATGAGAAAGCTTGGAAACTTTTCCAATAATTTATCAGGTTAACGACTCCAATCACATTGTTGGAAACAGTGGTGTTAGAATTTTTAGATTTTCTGTTCAGAGTTAAAGGCCTTCAAGGATCTACAATTGCATCTTATAAATCAGCATTGGTTGACCCTCTGGTGTGGGGTTTTAATATTACTTTGAACTCAAGAATTTATCAAATGCTCAGATCATCCTTATTCACTCAGAGACCCCCTCAGCCTAAGAGAATCCCACCATAGTCTCTAGATAAAGTTACTAAATTTCTTATGGGGCTTAATTACAAAATAAATCTGAACCGGGATAGATTGCTCCAGAAGGCAGCCTTCCTTCTAGCAAACGCAACAGGTATGAGAATCAGTGAGCTGATTTAAATTTCCAATCATCCATCATTATTGGCATTTTCTGAGGAAGGTGTCGCCCCTTTTCCTACGGAGATTCTAAGAAAAAATGAAAGTGAGGATTTTCAAGCTCAACCTATCGGGATAAAACTGCTAATGGATGAGACAAGGGTTCCTCATATATTGTGCCTAGTTAAGATTCTTCAAGAATTGTTAACCAGATTCCCTAATTGAGGCCCCTATGTATATGGTAAGAAATTGTCTCTTAGTCAAATGACAAAATTTATCTCAGTTAGTGAGTCAAGCAGACCCTGGCAAAAAATTTTTGGCACATGACACCAGGAAGTATGCAGGGTCTGTGGTCTTTCTGCGGCACATGAGCCTCAGTCAGATCAAAGAAGTGGGGGCTTTTGGAAATCTTCAAAAACCATTCAAAACAGCTATCTTCATCTATCTCTGAAAGATGCTTCACATGTGGTGGTGGTACTGGGGTTCCCTCCCCGACCTAGTTAATCTCCACAACCAGGACCTTCTTCTTCCTCGTCAGAATAAAGTAAGTATCCTAATTGGGATATGTAATTTAACATTTTCCCTACCGGTAAATGTTCCTAATAATTATAATCTGGACCTAAGCTAGCGGAGCCTTATATGCAATGTCACCTCCCTCTCCACCTGCTGCTCGGGTAATCAAAGCTAGACGTCGCATTCTGGATTGAATAAAGAGCTGTTTTTTTTTTCTTCTAAAAACCAGTTTTTGTGATATAGTCCAGAATGCGACCTCGACATCCCACCTATCTCCACCCCTTGAGAGTTGACATTTGTTTACTGCTCGCTCTAGGGCAAGAGATGACGGTAGCAATGGGTGTGATGGGCAGTGCGGGAGGGGTTTTTGAGAAATGCAATTAAATGCCAGGTAGCGACGTGTCCTCCTAATATTACATATTTAAGTAATTAATAGATGTTTTAATTGCCTGTATGTTGGCTTCACGAGTTAATGCTAGGCATTTACAATACATACTTAGGTATAAAGCAGGACGTCGCTTTCTGTACTATATCACAAAAACTGGTTTTTAGAAAAAAAAATGTATTTTTATTTTACAAAAAAAAAAGTGACTGACATCTGTGATGTCTGGTATAACATAACATATTCATGTTATTGAATACTGCATTTAAAATATAAAACATTCCCCCCCTCCCCCCACAGCATTATGTTCTGAAACCTATGATGAAGAATTTGGGTAAAGGTTCAGCGAAGCTTCAAGGTTTGAGTCTGAACAGGGAACTTTATCAAAATTCTTTATCACAGATTTCAGAAAATAAGGCACGATAAATGTGATGGGACATTTCTTTGACTGTACATAGCCATCCTTGAATAACATTGAATTAAAAATAAATATGAAGAATGCACATTTGTTATTGCACCTCCCCTTCCAGTATGGTGATGTATCTGTTGACTTAATTATGCTGAGTCCATACAAATTATGAGGACGGTAATTACTATTAATGGTTTTCTTTTCGCAGTGAGCTTAAATCAATGCCAAACTTGCTTTACCTGGATGTGTACGGTATTCTCAATGAGAGCGCCATGAGTACATTAAAGCAGAGTCTTCCACACATCCAGATCAACAAGTACTTATTTTCATCTGTTGCCAGGCCAACTGTTGGAATCCGCAGAACTTCCATATGGGGACTAAGAGTCAGAGATTAAGTTATTATCACCGAAGATATGTGATATTTCAATTAGTGTACTGTAAATTTTGTTTACACTTTCCAAAGACTTAATTCATGACACTCTACACCACATTCCCTCAACCCATCTGTATAATAAAAAGACCATGTATATTTATGATACATTAAAATGTGTTGTGTTAGTCTTGGAGCATGTGGTTAAAAATGAATATTTTGTGTGTTTGAAAGCTCTGGACCAGAATATATGTGTATTCTAATTGCTGCTGCTCAGATTTCTTAATTGTGTGAAAGGAGTTTCCTTTGTCTGATATCTCACAATTCAAGGAATTAGTAATTAGTATTAATCAGGGGTAACTTGAGGACATAATAAATTTGTAAGATCATAAAATTATTTAATTTTTGATCTTGTATCAAATTCCATTTTAAATATTGGAGGTATTATGGAGCACATCAGGTCTTGACTATGTTGGTTGCATGTTAACCTTAATTGTTATGTAGCCAGATGATTTAATGTAATTTTAAAAAATTTGTTACATATGTTTACTTCTAAGAAGTATGTTGTAGTTCAGTAACTCCCACATAAAAGAAATAAAAATTTGGTGTAAGATTTGTCTCTGAATTTAAGTATTTAAATATTTCATATGCATTTTATAGAATTTGAGATAAGTTGTATGAAAGGAATTATAAATTTTTTTTATTACATGTATATCTAATTTTTTTCCTCCTTATGCAGTAAACTCCTTCTAATCCAGACTAATTGGGTGGGGGGGCTGTCTAGATTGGGTGAAGGTCTGTATTGTAGGGTGGTGGGTTTCCGGCTGAAGCTACCCAAGAACACCAAACCTACTGTAATTTTTAGCCTAGACCCAACACCCTCTGGAATTTTGTATGCCATATTAACCTTTTTTTTAGCCCTTAGGGTTTCAACATTTTTGAGGAAAAGTTAAGTTTTTCCTCGGGCTCTCAGCAGCTTCTTGCCGATTCTCAGTACAATTATATTTGGCATCGGGAGTCACCAAGCGGCTGGTGTTGCCGGGAGCTCTCATACCCCTTGCAGTAATGTGTACTGTCGGCTGTGACATACAGCTGTATTCAAGCCTCGCACCCCTTAAATACATCCATTTGATGGCCCGAATCATAAATTTTTCAAAATATATTTATTTAAACAATTGTTTTGATAAACTATGCAGGATTATTTTGGTATAAAATGGTAATTCTAACTTAATTAGAACCGATTTTGTAGACTAGTATAAACATTTCTTACGGTTTTTCATAAAAGAATTGTTCCTATCATAATAACGTCAATATGTATACAGTACAATTTATATTTTTTTAAGGATCTTTTATAGAAACAATATTGTAGAGAATTTATTCAGAATCAGTATGGTAACAAATTCATTTTTTGAAAATAATTACAATGGATGCTTTTTCGCTCGCGATCGTGGCCTAATTGTAATGGGAAAGTGATGAGAATTGTATAAAGTAGAAGTGTTTTTCTTAGGGTAGACATTGTTACTGTACTATAATATGTCAGTCTATAAAAAATAGAAGCATGTACGTACTGTACTTGTTAATTATTAACTTATCATGAGGCCGTTGAGTCTTGAGATGGTTGAGGCAGGAAGTGATTTTACGACACTCACAATATACACCACCATAGGTGGAGCGGAGGTTTTGTTTTGACTGCTAACTTCATTGCCTATTTATACTGTACTGTACACTGTTCATATTTCTTAAACACCTCACTTTAGTGCTCCTCAGAGGCAGCTGTAAGTTACCCTCCTGTGCCATCACAGTGGCAGCCCCCCCCTACACGAATTTTTCCCTGCACTAACCAAATTCTTATTGTTTTTTTTTTCTGGGTTATGGAAACATTTGTCCAATTTGCAAAGGGATTGTGATTAAGCGAGTCCTGTTTAGAAGGAGTTTACTGTAGTTTTAAGGAAAATTTGTGATAGTGTATATGTCACAATACGCTAACGTCCATAAATCATTTGTTTATGGAAATGTTTTTTTGCAAGTGATGGATAAAGTTTGTTTCATAGTGTAACACAGAGTCATTAGTACTGTAATATCCAGGTTCTTGTTTTCGCATTTGATCCTAGAAAATAATATTTTAGTCAGTCAAAAAAAATTCATATCCTCCAAAGATTAGGGAAGCCAACATTCTAAGAACATGATAACCTAACATGTCTTTCGAGTTAAAATTGATTAACTGGGAAATTACAAGTTTACTTTCACAATGTTTTGGTCTATAATTTTTTCAATATACATCTTAGACTGAATTAATAACACTTGATTTGTATATAATAATTTGATGTAATTTTTTCCATTGGACAGATTCAATTGGTTTTTAATTTTTGAGATTGTTAGTCCCATATTATTATTTAAATTTAATCAGTCATTGTTGTGTTGCTCATTAACTGTCTATACTGAGTGTCATTGAGTGTATTCCATGAATTGACTTGTCTGCATTCATCTTCATTATACAGAATATAAGTATGCCAGTCCATCTTAAAATTATACAGGTACAGTAGAACGACGATTTAACGCGAATCGGTTTAAGATTATTGATTTAAAGCGACACCCACAATTAAGGACAATGTTTCAATTTAAAGTGAATCTTTCCTATTTTGCGCGAATCAATCTGGTGCATCATATTTAAAATTTTGCGCCTAATGTTTCTCTGGGCACACTACACTGTCCTATTGGCAAAACTGTACTGTACTTGTACTTTTGTCTAGTGCAAACTATAGCATGTTTAAATTCAAATTAATCACTATCTTATAAGAATTCCAGCAATGTAAATTATATTCTCCCCGGTCACTTCTGTGACATTTTATAAGCAAAAAACATAAACTCAAGCTAAAGGACATAAATAAACAAATAAATACTTCACTAGACCTTCGGCGCAACTGTCAAACATGTCACTGTCAACCCCCCCCCCAAATCCTCCCTGCCAGGGTTAGGTGCTTTAGGCTTAAAGTTAGACTAAAGTTAGGAGAATATAATTTGTATTGTTGGAATCCTTGCAAGACAGCGAATAATTTGAATATAAACGTCATATATTTTGCACAAGAGAAAAAGTTTTGCTCTGTATGTCTAATGCAAGCTATAGCATGTTTATATTCAAATTATTCACTATCTTATAAGAATTTTAGCAATGTTAATTATATTCCCCCATGTTAGTTCAGTTACATTTTATAAGATGAAAACTTAGTCCCTCTTAAGGACAGATAAATAAATAAGCACTAGACCTTGGCATCAACTGTCAAACATATCACCACACCTCACCTCCCTCCCTCCCTCCCTCCCATCTTCCCAGCCAGTAAACAGACCATTTTGCATCCCATAATTTTAGCTGTGTTGATTTATGAGTATTTGTTTTAACATAATACTACAAAAAACAATGTTTTGTTTATCCTAGGAGAAGGGCTGAGGTGCATCTGGGTAGACTCACTCTTTTTAGTATTTTGTGTTTCTCTCAAGTACCAAACTAAATTATTCCATTGAAACAACACTTCGATTTAGTGCGAATTCGGTTTAAAGCGGGACTTTTCTTGGAACGTATCTCCCAAAGTATATCCCGTTAAATCGACGACATTCTACTGTGTAACCATATTTTCCTCGTGTAATTGTTGTTATTGATATGCTCCACATTATCTCATCCTGGAAAATATGAAGGTTAGGTTATCATATGCATGAAGCAAGGACCAAAGGTTTTCCTTAGGCATTTGGAGAAGAGGGGCTATATCAGCAAGGTTGTTCTAACAAGTTGGGTCAACTTCAGCAAGTAGGGTTACCTCAGCAAGTTAAGTCAACTTCAGCAAATTGGGATAACCACAGTAAGTAGGTGTATTTCAGCAAGTTGGGTTAACTTGAGCAAGTATGGGAAAGGTAAAAGTTTGATAAAGCAGCAACACCAGATAATTAATTATTTGGGGGAGAACAGTTGTTACTGTGTTTGATTTGATTTGTTTCTACAGTCACCATAGGGAAAATGTGGTTGGGATTATTAATATTTAAAGGTATTAAGACCAAGGGCATTCTTGTTGCTTCTTCATTAGTGCTTTTGGTAGTTACCAAGGCTTGCTGGTTCATCTTAAAGAATAATTATTTGCAGGCAGTTTAAATTTTATCTGGTACCTGTATAATTACAAATTGAATTTGTGTCATCAAAGGATTTATTTATTTTTTTCCCTTTCAATTTTTAGTTTAGATTACAGTACTGTATACTTTCATTTGATGAATTTTGTTAAAAATTGTGACATGTTCCCAAATGTATTTTGTTTCTACAGCTTTACTGTATCTTATATTTTTCCAAATTATGAAAATGGATTTTGAAGAAAAGTTTACAGAGCCATATGTGAAATTTGTTAAGTGTTTATTTACACATTCAGAATGAAATTTTTGCTTTTATTTACACATTCAGAATTGGGAATTCAAAATATAGGCAGTAATCCTTGAATAAAATTGCAGTAACTGGCTCAGTCTCTCATTAATCAACATGTCCCCCTACCAGATACATTATTTGAAACATGTTGCTTCCTTTATTCTATCTCTACAGGCTAATATTAATATCTTGCTGTCTCCCTTCTCTACTTATTTTCAGCACTTTACTTTTATTTATATTCACCATTAGCTTTCTCCTAGTACACACTCTTCTAAACTCAGTTGCATACTGTAGTACACAGTACTGTTTACTGTAGTGTCTTCTTTTAGTATTCTCTAATTTCCATGTAAATATGATTACATTACCAATTTTTTTTTTTTTCATACATTAGTTTTGTATAATCGTATTGTCCTGCTGTACAGTCATTCCCCGTATTACGGAAATTTGCACTTACAGAATTTTGAAATTATGACAAAAACTTCGTCCTTTTGGGAATGTTGGTAAAAACAAAACAAAATTCACGCTATATAACAAAGAAACTGACCGAAATTTAAAAATTTATTTCGTGTGTATTCTGGGTGGTTGCTACAAGACGGTTGAGGACCCACAACAACAACGGTGCTGCTCAGTTTTGGACTGCTTGTGTTTTGGACTGTGTGGGGTTTTGGATGTTTGGTTCACACTCAGGATGGGATGGAGAAAGGAAACTCACAATGTGCTCTCTATATACATGTTGTATTGGATTTACAATGCAGCTTGGTGCTGGGAAGGCAGCATGGTTACAAGCATGATGTAGAGAGAGCTGGTTGGTGAGGATGCTCAGAGAAAAACAGCTTGTGGGTCGCCATGCTCGCCGGCGGGAGCAAGGGCCGCCAGGCAGCGGCGGAGGAGGTGGTGTTGCTGGCTGGTTAGTGGAGGTAGAAAGAGACAGGTCACCACGAGGTCAGGTCTTAAATAGCGGGGGGTAGGCGTGGCTTAGTAGTTGACCCCTGCTTTGTGATGTATGGTGGCGCTGGTTGACCTAGACCACGAGGCATACACTGGGGAATAGGTGGGGTCGGCTACTCAGCGACAAACAGCGTTTGTAGGGGAGAAATCCACTACAATACTCCCTCTTCCCTCCAGGTGGTGTAGGAGACTTGTTGTCTGCAGGGTTGCATAGCACATGTGAGGCAGAACGGGCGGTGCATGCCTCATGTGAGACAACGGCGGTGGCGTGGATAAGCCGGTCGCTGGACACAACTGTCTAGATACACAATATCTGTGGGAGTAGAGAGGGAGAAAAAGGGTGTGTGGAGGCGATGAATGTTGTGCTTCCCTCACGGCAGGTACAGAGTCCTCAGATGTGCCTGCTGGGGTGTGTGGGCCTGGGTCAGGAGCAGGGGCTGCGTCAGCAGAAGCGGATAAGGGCTCGTGACAGCAGCAGGGTGCAGGACATTAGCAGGGAGTACCTGAGGGAGAAAAGAGGGGGTGTGGGTCCGCACTCAGAAACAGGGGTCGCGGCAGGGGGTACTGCTGGGTCGGCGTCTGAGGCAGGACGGGTGTGTTGGTCTGCGTCAGGAGCAGAGGAGCTGGTGTCTGCTTAGAGAAACAGTGCTGCTCTAGGGTGTATAACCTGCGGTGTAGAGACTGTAGTTGTAGTGCCGATGAGAGCTGCTTCTGTGTGGATAAGCCAGTCTTCCATGTTGCTTGAAGACTGGGAGCGTGATCAGTTTCTCCTCCATCCTGTGTGAGTGCGAATATCCAGGAGTCACCATTTGTGGGGATGCATGTTGTATTGGATGTACAATGCAGCTTGGTGCTGGGAAGGCAGCATGGTTATAAGCATGATGTAGAGAGAGCTGGTTGGTGAGGATGCTCAGAGAAGGACAGCTTGTGGGTCGCCATGCTCGCCGACGGGAGCGAGGCCCGCCAGGCAGCGGCGGAGGAGGAGGTGTTGCTAGCTGGTTGGTGGAGGTAGAAAGAGACAGGTCACCACGAGGTCAGGTCTTAAATAGCGGGAGGTAGCTTAGTAGTTGACCCCCGCTCCGTGATGTATGGCGGCGCTGGTTGACCTAGACCACGAGGCATACACTGAGGAATAGGTGGGGTCGGCTACTCAGCGACAAACAGCGTTTGTAGGGGAGATATCCACTACAACTGTATTTGCCCATAAGGAATTTTGGGTAACTTTTTTTAACCCTTAGGCCCCGGGTGACGTTCCAGAACGTCTGGCTATTTTCCTGCCATATTTATTTATTTTTTTATTTTTATTTATTTTTTTGGAAAAGTTGATTTTTTTCTCAATTTAGCCACTGGGGGGGGGTTACTGCCAGCAGCGCCCTAACTCGGGGCTTAAGGGTTAAAGTCTTTCAAACATAAAAATTGTGAAAGAGAAAAATTTTTTTTACCGAAATTATAAAATTTATTTTGTGTGGATTCTTAATGGATACTACAACTTGGTGGAGGACGGCGCACCTACCCACCACAACAACAATGGTGCTGCTCAATTTGAATTCATTCCCCAGCTTCTGTTTAGTTTTGCATGTGTTCAGGACTGTGTTACTGTTTACCCTTATTCAAGAAGAGAGGAAAAAGGCCATCAAGTTCAAGTGAAAGCAGTAGTCCTAAAGATTCCAGAAAGGAATTACATTGGACATTAAACTTGATGTTTAAGGAACTCCTAGTAACTCCTTAGCACTGCACTGTACAACAATATATATACAGAAAACACATTGTGAGTTTCTATTCTACCTCAATCCTGAGTGTGAGATATCTTATATGTACGTACGTTTGTGAGCCCATACTAAGAGATAATAGACAACCAAGAGAATTGACAACTGGCCACACACAGTACGCCACAGGCCCTCTGTGGGCTTAGGGCTAATGATCTTTTAATTAACATTGAAAAATCTACGATTTTTTTCTTTCTATATGACTGCAGTTTTCTGGTATTCAAATAATATTTTACAACAAGAATATTGTTGCTGATAAATATTGTAGAGTACGATTGAAGATATAAATTCGGATTTAAGGCTTTAAACGGACTGCATTGAGTTTCATAAAATTTTCAAATCCGAATTTGGAGTTCAAACAAATCATTAAAATTTATAATATTACAATAATAAACTCGTACATACCTGCTGCTCCATATATTCCACGTCACAAGAATAAAAAAAAATAACGATACCTAAAATACCCTAAGGCTATTAAAAAAAAGAAGACTATTTTATATGGTTAGGATTATTTGCCATGAAAAAGTTTTAAATTAAAAGTGTTTGATGAACGTATAATTATTAATCTCTTGTTATGTGCTTAAAGAGTTTTACTGTTGAAGCTCATCAATAAAATTATAACGTCAGTGGTATATAATAATAATAATGTGTGGTTGTTGAGGGACTTGTATAACATGAGTGACTCGTGCTGAAATGATAAGGAAAGAATAAGGAGTTAAATTACTTTTATAATTATCCACCAGTTTACACAAATGGGGGCAATGTCCAGGATTTATTCTCATTTATTGCATAAATATCCAGTGGTTGTCCAGTCTCTGCAAGCAGGTAAGCTAACTAAATTTAATTACTGTATGTTTATGTAAGTATATCAGCAGTATGGAGTGTAAATGTGTCATGGTCAAGACTATTTATTCATTGACTGCTATGAAGATTGTTTCAAGAGTTCACATCTCTCACTCCAAAAAAAACTTTGCCCTGACAATTTTCTGATCTTATGGATTCTTCAACCTTAAGCTGCTACCCATAGTGGGCTGGGCATCAGCTACTTCCAAATATGAACACAACTATTTCCAGTAAATATTCGTCCATTGTCTGTCCTTAGATTTTGATACAAATATAGGGGGTATTATTTTACTTTGGACATAGCATGCTTGAAAGTTAGAAGCTACTGAAACATTTAGATCTCCCTATTCTGAGCATTTTGAACCCCATACAGTATATACCAGGCAGAAATGGATAATCGCGACAATTGAAATTAATTGATTTTACGTAGTTTTCAGTCTTCGTCTGTGAAGAGATGTTATCGGCGCATCACTCATGTGCAATATTGACTGACGTCATCCAGTAGTGACTAATGATGTATCGATATCACGCTAAATTTTTTCGACCAATCATATTTGATTTTTTCAAAGGAAGCATCCTGGGTATGATTTTAATTTCATTGACCAGTCTCACAATGGCCACCACGGCCATTGGTTGGTTGTCATTTGTGCTCGTACGATTATTTTAAGCTTATTGCCGAGTTTTACGAAAAAGACGATCATTCTATCCAATTCTTACATATCCCTGGTCGGTAAATTTTTACTTTAGGACATGAGTCCCTAGGGGGTTGACCAATATGTTTTTCCAGTGTATTTTGGTGTGCTTTAAACGAATCTGACCTTCATTTTTGGAGGAAATTGCTTGTTTTTGCCCCCTCCCAACAATAATGGGGGAGAGCCAGGGAAATTGGGGTTTTTGGATGCGGGAGAAAACGAAAACGAGTCCTCTAACCTAACAAAACCTAACCTAACCCCTTGCAGAGGGCTCCGCCCCCAGCCCCCTGTAGGCCTAGCTTAAACTAACCTAAATGTTTCAGTAGTTTAAAACTTTGGGGTGCATCATGTCCAAAAGTACAATACAGTACTACCTTAGTTAGAAGTGGAAGAACCAGGGGGTATTTTTATAGTTGTTCACTCAGCATTCCTACCCCAAATCTTTTATCACATTCAGTCAGGTTAGGTTAGGTCATCCCAAAAAAGGTTAGGTTTATATGTTTTTCTAGTGCTTTTTGGTGTACAGTACTGTGTTTTGTATTCACTTGCCCATGAATTTTTTTGGAAAATGTCCCACCCAAAACCCCGGTTCCTAACAGGATCCCTTAATTTCTTGGGGGGTAGAAGGGGGCGATAACTAAAAAACAGGCAATTTCCAATGGAAATCAAAGAGAGAACCAATCAAAACACACCAAAATACACTAGAAAAACAGAGTTTTGACTTTCTAGCAGAGTTGTGTGAACTACTCTAAATTTACCCAAAATAGATGTTTGTTGGTGTATTATGGTGTGTTTAATTCAATCTGATCTTCATTACTGGTGCAAATTAGCAGTCAAAAAAGGAAAAAAAATAATTTGTAACAGAAACCGCTAATTTGCACCAAAATGGCAGACGGGTTTAAGTAAAACATACCATAAAACACCCAAAAAACCTAACCTCACTTAACCTAACCTCACTTAACTGAACTTAACCTGACCATTTTTTGGAACTTACCTGCTACTGTGGTGGAGGATACAGGTGGGCGATCTGGTATGCTTATGGTTACAGACAAAAGAATTTCTGTCTTTTCTTAAAAGTAAACAATTTAGACAATATTTTAGATTGTCCCATGCTCAATTCAGTGAAGCTCTATTAATAATTGAAAGGGATATCAAGAAACTAGATACAAACTACAGGCAGTCCATAAGCCCAAGGAAAGGCTGGCCTGAAGCAGGGTGCTAGCTGCTGTCTCTCTCAACTGTCAGTCCCAGACTGGCAAAAATGTTCTAGTGCATATGCACGATGAAGCCACGCCGAGAAAAAATCGCAGAGGAGGCATTCTGGGATGGTACATATCCGAAGTGTGTGACATCGGCTATTTACCATTGCATCTGGTCAGAACAGCCTCATTGAAAATAACAGAAGCAATGCCACGTAATTTCCATCCGCAGCGTAACTAGCATCACATCCGGTGTGAAACAGCCTTAATGGGGCATCAAGCTTATGGAACTCTCACTTTCATAGTGCTGGGTAACATGGGTTGGTTTTCTGTTGCCAAATTAATTTTGTATTAGCCATTAAAAAACTGATAAAGATTTAGCTTGAGGTCTGTTGAAGATTTGAATGCAAATTAGGTATACCTGTACCCTGTACCTGTATATATAATAAATATGATTTTTTTGTATTTTCAAGGTACATTGACAGGAGCTGGGGATGTCCTGTCTCAAGTTCTTGTTGAAAAGAAGTCTGCAAATCAGTTTGAATGGCAGCGTACTGTTCGCTTTTTTGCAATTGGTTCATTTTTAGTTGTAAGTGAAGCTTGTATAGTATGTTATATGCACAATTATTGTTTCAAAAGTAGTACCTGTACTGTATTTTTTAAGTTATATTATGCTTAAAATTTTTAGCCAAAAATATGTAAATATTATGGACTGTATCAGAATATTGTGACTAAATTTTTAAAATAGATTTCATTAACCTCCTTTCTTCAAGGCAATTTTGATTAGAATCATACAATACTTGTACTTGAAAATTGTTGATCATGGGTTTTCTTTCCAGGGCCCAGTATTATCAAGATGGTATAAAGTGTTAGACAGCAGAATTGGATCTGGCAAAGGAGTGATAGCTCTGAAAAAGGTGGCTGCTGACCAAGGGCTGTTTTCACCTGTTTTTTTGGGAGTCTTCTTGACTGTGTTGGGAGCCATGCAGGGGAACACACCACAGCATATTCAGAATGATATCAAGAAGAACTACAAAGATATTTTGCTGACCTGTTGGAGTGTAAGATTTTTGTTTGAACAGTGTACATGAAGTTTGAGCAAAATTTATGCAGAATAAGTAGCAGTGCTAATTTAATGAACCACCAATCAGTATACTGTACAGTAGTATACAAAGTAATGTAGTGTGAAGTGCAGTAATATTAACACACACTTTCTGTATAATTGTAGTTGGACCATATAACTTTATTTATTTTGTATAGTCTTCATAGGAATTTGAGTGTACTGGGTACGGGTAATAATATTTACTTCTGCCACGCTACTTAAATCATAGACGGTACCAACAGCACATAATACTAATTTTGTCTCCTGAACAATTCTTACTTTCTGTTTCTTTGGAGTTTACTATTTTATAATTAATAGGGCAATACATACTGTAATATTTTTATTTTTTTTTAATTCTCTGCTACCTTTTCTTGTGGGTTCTTATCAAGATTTACATATACAGTACTGTACAGTATAGTCTGCATTTACGCGGGTTTTATTTACGCGTTTGGTCATTTACGCAGGTTTTGTTTATGCGTTTGGTCATTCACGTGGTGCCTTGCCAGAATGAAAATGCTTTAATTTCGCGGTAAATTTGGTCATTTACGCAGCGAGCGGCTGGAGAGGTCCAGACCGCCACGCCATTTTTTACCCACGCGGTCCATTCTTGACCATACGCGGGAAGCGGCGCGGTGAGTGGTGCGCATTAGGCCGCTCTTACGTTATCGCTGACGTCATATGACATATCGGACTGTGATTGGGCCACGCATCCTTACCTCCCTCCGCCGCTAGCTGTGATTGGCCTAATGTAACATGACGTGCCCTGCCACCAGAGAGTAGAAGTTGCTGACCTAGCAGGGCCTGTCTCATTGTTCTCAGTCCGCGTATACAGTTCTCTCTTGTGCCCGCTATTCCCCTCACAACTCACAATGGCTTCCGCGGAACCCCCACCACCATTGAATTACCTGGACCAAGCCATGATAATGTGAAGGAAATCATCACGTTGGGGGAGAAACTTAAGCTCATCCTTGACAACGACACCAGACAAGCATCGGTATGAAGAGTCTAATAACCATCTGACGAAAGTTATGGAGCCGTATATCCAGATCTATCTCGACAACATCAATGCTAGTCGTCAATGTAGTATTGAGGACTTCCTCGCCCGCAACCCACCACAACCACAGCCAGTCCAAGTCAGTGATAGTGATATTGACAGTGAGGATATGGACTTTGAGAGGTTTGTCTGGGAGGCCCTGCAAACCTCTGCGAGTAGTGAAAGTGATTCACCGGAGGGCAACTAATCTGCCCTCTGCCTCGGAACCAGCCGCCATCCACGTGTGCCGACCCAGCTTTTCTACTAACGTAAGTGTTAAAAAACCTAATATTATTGATATTTCTCTTAATTATTAATTGTGTGTGCATAATGTCATAAAATTAAGATGTTATTTTTACTACAACGTATGTATTGTGTCAGAAAAAGCGGAGTTTGGGGGTCGGCCCAGTCTCTATTTCAATTAATCCCATATGTTCTGTTATTTCATTTACGCGTTTTTCGTTTTACTCGGTACTCCATGGGTTCAATTGGCCGCGTAAATGCAGACTATACTGTATATATATATATACACTGTATTCAAATTATTCGCTGTCTTGCAAGGATTCCAGCAATGCAAATTATATTCTCCTAACTTTAGTCTGAGATATTATATAAGATAAAAACTGTAAGCCTAAAACCCTGGCTGGGGGAAAGGGAGGGAGCGAATGAGTGAGCAGCAGGAGATGAGGTGATATGTTTGACAGTTGGAGCCAAAGGTCTCATGTATGTTTATTTAACAGTGTGGAGTTATGAGATATTGGTTCACACTCAGGATGGGATGGAGAAAGGAAACTCACACTGTGCTCACTGTATACATATTGTATTGGATGTACAATGCAGCTTGTTGCTGGGTAGGCAGCATGGTAACAAGCGTTGAGTAGAGAGAGCTGGTTGGTGAGGGTGCCCAGAGGAGGGCACGCAGCTTGAGGGACGCCGAGGTCGCCGGCGGGAGCCGCCAGGCTGGAGTGGAGGAGGAGGTGTTGCTTGCTGGTGGCACTGGGTAGAAAGAGGGTGGTCACAGCGGTGTCAGGCCTTATAAGGCGGGGGTAAGCGTGGGTAGATAGTTGACCCCAGCCCGTGGGCAGCGCTGGAGGCGTAGACTGGGGAATTCGAGAAGGTTCGGTGCTTGTAGGGGAGGAATCCACTACAACAGTCCTTCAGTGACTAAGCTTCTCTCATTTTAAAATGCCAGTGAAATGACCTGGGAGAATATAATTTACATTGCTGGAACTCTGATAAGATAGTGATTAATTTGAATATAAACAAGCTATAATTTGCACTAGACATAACAATTTTAGTACGGTAATCATTTAGTACGTGTACAGTATAGGTTTGCACTTAGGTCATTTATTTTTTTTATGTTTCTTTTAGTATGGTGTGTGCATGTAAATGAATGAAAATAAATAAATAAATTTATGTAAATCTACCCAAAAATACAGTTGAAAAACTTTACATAACAAAAATGTACTAAACTAATGTACTAAACTTTTTATCTCTTGTGCAAAATATATGACAGTTATGTTCAAATTCTTCACTGTCTTGCAAGGATTCCAGCAATGCAAATTATATTCTCCTAACTTTAGTCTGTGATATTATATAAGATAAAAACTTAAGCCTATTGTATAACCACCAAACCCTTGCTGGGGGTGACAGTGACATGTTTGACAGTTGCGCCGAAGGTCTAGTGAAGTATTTACAGGTTGTACCTCTCTAGTCCGGCAACCTCGGGACCTGACCGGTGCCAGACCATGGAAATTGCCGGACCATGGAAATTCACCCTTTTCCTGGATAGATAGTGACTTGTGCTTATGCCTGGAAGCACTAGCACCACTTTCTCTGCATCATGGTCTCTTTGAAGACATATTGAAGGGTTAAATGTCGTATAGTAGCTTCTCAAATTTCGCGAGTTTTTAATTCTTAACGTATTTTATTGGAACACACAAAAAAATAAATAAATAAAAATTTTGACGGCGGAAACTTGAATTTCGACGGGTTTGAACGGCCCGCCAACGTGCAGACGACGTGCATAATCGTGTAAACAGCGTCATTTCTCTTATGTACAAAAGATTCATTATTGTTTATTACTGAATGTCTTTTTTATTGAATTAATGTTTATGTGTGCAAAATGAGCAATACAATTCATTAATAATACGTAGAATATTAAAACACACGAGGAAATGACACAGCATTGTATTCGTTGATTACAAAACCAGTGACTGACTGGTTCTACATATAAAACTGAAGAAAATAAGACCTTGGTTGTAGCTGTAGTAAAATTAATATGGTTGTTTTAAGTAATGTTATTTAATGTTAATAAATGGAACAATAGAAGTAGCTAACGATAATGGTAAAGAAAAAAGAGAGATCGCATATGTAAGTGCGCATGCGCACACGTGAAAACATATCATCATTACTTTACATAAGAATATGAAAGCAACACTTATTTACTGTTCATATATATTTTAATTAATGTTTCTGAATTTGTTTTTATTGAATTAATGTACGTGTGTGCAAAATTAACAATACAATTTATTAATAATACGTGGAATATTAGAGGAGACAAGACGGCTGCCGGCATTGTTTATGTTAAAGCTTACGAAACCAGTGACTGATTGGTTCTACATATAAAACTGAAGAAAATAAGACCCTGAGTTTAGCTGTAGTAAAATTAATGTAAAAAAATGAATATGGTTGCTTGAAGTACCTGTAATGTTATTTAATGTTAATAAATGGAACAATATAAGTAGCTAACCATTAATGGTAAAAAAAAAAGTGAGACTGCTCGTATGTAAGTGTGCACATGTGAAAATATATCGTCATTACTCTACATAAGAATATGAAAGCAACACTTATTTACTGCTCATATATATTGAAGGGTTAAATGTTGTACTCTGTATAGACAAGCAGAGAGAGAGAGAGAGAGCAGCCGAACTGCCGGATGTAAACAAACCTTAATTTCCCGCGGCTTTTTTTTTTAAGGGGATTAGCCCACCCGGGAATAGGTCACTGACCCACATTAGGGCCTGAGGGGCAAAAATTTAATACTCCTGTAATAATAATAATAATTCAGATAAGTAAAAAAAAAAAAAAAAAAAAAGAGCTGCCTATCTACCTATTGGACAAACTAAAATCGTTCCGGACCACGGGAGTTTCCGGACCACAGAATGCCGGACTAGAGAGGTACAACCTGTATTTGTTTATTTATGTCCTTTAGATTGAGTTTTTGTTTTTTGCTTATAAAATGTTATAGAACTGACCGGGGAGAATATAATTTACATTGCTGGAATTCTTATAAGATAGTGATTAATTTGAATGTAAACATGCGATAGTTTGCACTAGACAAAAATTTTAGTAATCATTTTGTTCATTATTTTGATTACATTAACAGTACAGCTTTGCCCTTAGGACAGTGTGTGCATGTAAATGAGTTTCAATAAATGAATAAAGTTACATATATCGAGCCAAAAATAATAGTTGAAAAACTTTATGTAGACAGAGCTTGGATGGCTAAGTTTTAGAATGACCAATAATTTTATTATAAAAAATCCACAAATATTAAAGAGCACAATTTTCTTGATATCTGCTCCACTGGAAACGAATGTAACATAGAACAGATTACTGAATTGGCAGACTAGCCCATCAGCTGATGCTCACAACAAAACGTGTTTGTCGTAAGGATTTCGTTAATTGATGTTTTGTTCGTTAACAGAATTGAAGATCCTTATGGGAGGTAATTCATTAACCAAAATTTTGTTAATCGAACCGTTCGTTAACCGAGGGACCACTGTGTGTGTGTGTGTGTCATATGTTTAGACTTTCAGGCTCTTTATTAAATGATTATTTTTTTCTGCAGTGGGTGCATTTGTTTTATAATTGTTATTTACCTGTACTGTATTACAGGTGTGGCCAGCTGTTCAAATCTGCAATTTCTCCTTTGTGCCTCTACATCACCAGGTACTTGTAGTTCAGACATTTGCATTGTTCTGGAACACATACCTGGCATGGAAGACCAATCAAGGCCTTGGAGCTCCAAGCCCACAGAAGGAACTCATGGCAGATAATTAAAATACAGTACTGTACTGTACTGCACTCCATAATATACTGAAGACTAATTTTAGTCTTAGTCAAGAAATGTAAATTTATTGTAAATCTTGTATAGATGTGAAGGGCAGTTGCAACAAAGAAAATTTGAATAATTTTTATAATAATTTATAGAGTACAGTCATTGAGCCAGTTGCCTGATTGTCCAATTTTATTTTATTTTTTTTTTTTTCACTACAGTATTAGTTTACCTGGGGACTTCTGGTCAGCCCCCATGGGTGATTGAGTGTTAAATAAATTTGCTTATATTCACCTATCTTATTATGGTGTGTCCCCAGTCTTCTTGTTCAAAGAATAACCATGCAGTATTATCTGACCATTTCTGGAATCTAGATGAAATTCAAGCTGTTACTGATCTTGTGTAGACTGAATGTATCATAATGTCTTCTTATTGTCAAAAAAGATACAGAACAGCAGAGAATAATCATACTATATAAGAAATTATTTTACTTATACAGTATCTGAATTTTATAAAGGCTTTGAAGGATTGAAAAGCCTATTTTTGGTGACTGTGCCTCCATAGTGTATGAGCTCTAGAGAACTCCCTCTAGTACCCCTCCCATAGGGGTGAATGGGAATCCTAAGTCATCCAAGTTATAAAAACTTGGGCTAAATTTCCCTAAAACTCGAAGTTGTTGCAGCAGGCATCCCTAATCCACTGCTGTTTTCTATGATGTGAGAGGTTATCCGCAAGGCCCTATTTTTCTTGTTCCTGGGGTTTCAGCATGAGGAGAGACGTGCCCAGTGTGGGATCATTTCACCCCAATCTAGGCACTTTGCATTTGGAAGCAGACTTAGCAGCCAATTTCCACCTGTCTTTAAGTAACACTCACTCCTTTCTGGTTTTGTCCATCGGTGAAGAGAACTTCGTGAGGGACGTAACCCGGACCGTGCATACTGGGCAGGCAAGAGGGTCAAACCAACCTCCCATCGAGCAAGGGGTGTGGGTAGGGCAGCTATTATGACTGTCCAGACGGAAGGAGCTGGGATATCCTTTCATCTTGCACTTTATCGAATGAATCCTGTGGGTGTCCTTGGTCTTTCGAGGAGAAGAGTCTTGTCAGTTGTTGGAAGAGTCCTTCTATGCGGGACCATCGAAGGTAGGATTGGTAAGCCTGTCCACCTTCGCTGATGCAGTATGGGTGTCTTGTGTGGTTGGTATGCTGGATGTGTGTTTGTTTATTACAAACGCTGGTGTCAAATTCAAGACTGTACTTGGACGATCATCAACATGGGATTTTTAGTAACATTAATTGGCGAGGAAATATTAATATTTTCCAGTCAGAAACTGACTTAGAAAGCTGCTAAAATTTGTTATTATTTTTTTTAAATGTGCTTACTTTATTAATATGTCATGTTAAGTTTAGTGACGATGTCCTGTCAGTGAAATTTGACTCGTTCCAGATTATTGCCAGTTTATAGTTTCCAGACAAAAACTTGCAAAACTGCTAAAAGGTTGAATAAATTACTTTAAATATGCTTAACTGATTAGTAATAGCATTTGCATGATAGATGAGTCCAACAGGAGAACGAGCTTGCATTTGGCAGTAAACAAAGCACAAGTCTCTTGAAAATGTCAATTTATTAACCTTAAAAACATTAATGCAAGAAAAAGGTTTATAGAATTGTCAATATGTTTTCTTTGTTCATTATTTGTATTTACTATAAATATCCAATAAAACAAACAAAACAATTACGAACAGGGTAACAAAGAGCAGCTCCTAGCCACATCTTCAAATTACAAAATTATTAGTTCGTTTTTCCTCCATGTGCTGCAGTGCGGGGTTCTTCGCATTTAAAGCGATGGTGGTTGACACGATGACCCTCATCAATGGAAGAGGGTGATTAAAACTTTGGGCATAGTACTGTGCCATTGCATGCACATTGTCCCTATAAGGTTCCTTTTTTTACAGTATGAAGACAGTGTTGGAGTGTGTGGCCATGTATGGCCGCTACTTTACATTTAGCTTTGTTCACATCTGCCCGTGAGGCATACAGCCAGAGGTACTTATAACTTAACACCTTAGTGTAGCAGTTACTACAATTTGTAAATTAGGAATGTATATGATTTTGTTCCTTGCTTCCTTTATTACAGTACATGTTTTTCTTGATACATCTTATGGTACACAATGGATTGACTAGTGCTTGTTTGGTCTTGTCTGCTTACTTCAAATTCATCAAGTTCTTTTCTGATTATAGTTTTTAGGGTTCTGTTTGACAATGCTAGTGTAACAATGCCATGTTTTTAGAGTAGGTTGTGTCATGTTTTAGAGGAAATACATAATTATGAAAATTCAGATTAGACAAAGATTACCCACCATAATGCATGATCCAATCAGAGTGGCCTGTGAGTGTGATGTTATAGGCCTAACTGTGCTTATTGGCTGGAAGTTGAGTTTGTGCCCTAGCAAGGGGGCACTCTGTTTTCAAACACAGAGTCTGGTTAGCGGTGGTTAAGTGTAGAGGTGCTCGTGGTTGGCAGGTCTTCAGCATGGCGATATATACAGTACAGTATATCCCTTTATGTTTTATCGTTTCACAGAATATATTGCGATTCATGTGACTCGTTTAACTAGCTGGGAATATAGGTTTATTGTTTTGAAAGTAACTGTCCATTCTGAGTAATGTAGTTAATAAATGAAGAAGCATAATGATTAGTTCTCAATTCCCTTGTGTTTGAAGGTACTGTAGTTGAGTATGACCTCCTAAGTGTCTTGGTGGTCTGCAGTGATAGAGTCCTGATTAACAACACACCTATCTCCAGTGTCCCCTAGTGTCTCAGTTATCGCTTGTTATTCCTATTCCCAGTTATTCCCTCCTCCTCAGTCTCCCCTCATAACGGTTACCCTCTGGCGGGGGAAAACCACAGGCAAATCCCCACCTCCCTAACCACAAACCAGCTGTTAACTCCTCCTCCCTCCTTCCTCACACCCATCCATCTCATAAGTATACCGTACAGAGAAAGAGTAAGAGTAGAAGCAAGAATTAAGAACTAAGAAGAAAGAAATAAGAGGTAAAATACAAGCTTTTATTACACCTGATTGTATCCAACATTGTCATTGTTGGATAAAAGTTTAGCTAAGACATCAACTCTTATCATGTTGACTGATGCTTATGTGAGAGGGGATCTACAGCAGCTTGTCCCCCAGGGACAAGTGGGTGACAATCTGAATTTCTTTTTACTTTTATTTTTTTGCCCCCTAGGCCCCGCTGTGGGTCGATGACCTGTACCCGGGTGGGCTATTTCCCGTAAAAAAAAAAACACAGTGGCAGTATCTTCAACAAGTTTCAGGATTGTGAATATGGCAAATAGACCAGTTTGTAGAGTGGATGCCCAGTTATTAATTCTAACTCCTTTTTCTATTACATTACCATTGGGATGAGTCACAATAACAGCACTTCCAGCCCTCCCACAGACAATGTTGAGAGAACCTTTCAGTGCTGATGGTCTGTGTGATGTTATTTTCAGTTTATAGGTTATGAGGTTATGTCTATGTTCAAGAGCTCTCACTTTGGCAGTGTGTTTGAAATAAGGATTGTGTGGTCAGATGTTTAGACAGGTATGTGGGTGTTGTGATGTTGAAGGGAACTGTCCGCCAGGGTAATAGGAAGTTCTGCTGTGTCTCGGTTTTGTACAGTTTGTCTAGTCCAAACATCCTCACATGTGTAACAGTAGTTTGGATCAATTTAGATTCACCGGTTTCATGACTCATTAACTGTACTGTATATTAAAATTTTTGTAATTTTTGGTAAAATTTCTGATTGTGTGAGACATTTTTTAATATATTTGACACACATGTCACCGTGGGATGCAACTGCCTATCTCAGTGTAAATGTACATTACGTGTCACGCGTGTTGGTCAGTCGTGGAGTGTACATTGACGGTCTACCATACAAGCTTTTTCCCCACTTATTTTTCCCTCATTGCCTGGTGTTTGAGCCATTTTGTCTGATAGCCCTGGAACAACCACCTAAATCTGGTACTGTACATACTTAGAAATGTTAAAACATTTTTATTGGGGCAGCTAACTTAAAAGTAAATACCCCCCCAGGAGGTGTCCCTCATACAGTACTTCGTAAAATATCATAATTAGTAAGGACTAGAGCTCCTAATATTTCGAATTATAGGTAAGTTACTGTACAGTATCTTATTGACTAATCACAATGATGCCACTCTTTTCAGTAACTAATATTATTCAGTGGTAGAATGTAAGCAAAATAGTGTTACTTATTTTCAGTACAGTATGACCATGAAACTTCTCTTTACTTTTCATTTATAATACTGATGCTTTTCTAACAAACTTGTCTTACATTTAACATGCTTTACACACAGTCTCCAAGGGCCAAAATTTCTCGGAGGACTTCTGTATATTGTCCATTCCCAGAACCTTAAAGCACTTGAATTTATATGTACTGTACTGTACAAGGAGGCCGATTTTCCTTGCCTCTATAACGTTGTGTTCCTTGATTCATAGTCAAACCAAAATTCAGCCATTTTTTGGCCTTTGTTCTGTCCCATTTTTGCACATTCCTGGGGCATTTTGTTACGCCAGAGGGTGTACTGAAATCTGTAGTATCTGAATTGTTCAGTGTATCTATGGTTGATGTAGTAAATCCCAGGGTCTTCACGAAAATAAAATCTCCGTAAGCACTATGATGACACATGTGGCAGAGAGCACAGGAGATTGAGTTTGTGAGGTGCCTGAGCTTGGTCACATGACACAACATGCGCTGTTATTGGTTGTAAGCCCAAAAGAAATACTGTAGTACTGTACATGTATGGTAGGGTGAAAATGCATGAGTTACCAGACAAATGCTGTACAGCATATTTCATTCATAACATGAATTTCAAATTTTGTGTTCATAAGAAGCCTCCAGAAGATAGCTTGTCAAACATTTTAATACTGTACAGTACATGTATAGCATAAACTATTAACTTATTTTTAACCTTGAACTGTACAATATAGAACTTAGGTACAGGTATGTCTTGAGTCATTTCCCCAAATCACTCACTTCCATTGGAGCCAGTCCTTTTCAATTAAGGTTTTGCCAGCATTGGGAGAATTCTAAAACATACCGTAACCCCTATGGTTGGCTACTGTTACTGTATCTGGTTTTTAATAACTGAACTTTGAATTGCATTGTTACAATGTTACATGTATGATTGAATTGTATACAGTATGTTAGGCATGATTCTTTTTCCTGTCATTCCCACAAGTGATAAGCTAGGCACTATTATTTGTTTATTTATTATGATGTATGCCTTCCAGTAGTAACCATACTGAAAAGGTTTAAAAAAGATTAAGGGAAGCAATTGGCAAAATATTGTATAGATGAAGAAAACTTTAAGGCGATACAAATAAGATAGACTATTCTCTCATTAAATGTATTCATGGTTATAAAAAAAAAAAAAAAAAAAAAAATACAGCGATTTCTTTTTATTAGAAATGTCATCAGCATTAGATATTTTCATAGGAACTAAAACCCAAAGAATTGGGCTCAAATTTGGACAAAAACTGGTTACATGGCAATACTAAAATTTTAATACTGCCTCAAAGTTCACACTTTGAAAAACCAAAACTTTCAAAGATAAAATTATGTGTAATTAAGCAGTTGACCAATTACATTAAACAGTAAAACAAAATTTATCTTAATAACTTTGATTGGTTTTATAATATTGGTAATTTCATGTGATATTCATGGAGAAACACAAAAAAGCTTTGGTTTTTCTTGTAATACAGTACGGTACAGTACTGTAAATAAGTATAAGAGAATAAAGGCACAAAAAAAAGGCAATTCCAGTACAGTACGTATATGAATGATACAAAAAGGTGGTGGCCAAAGAAAATCCTGTAATGAAATGCATTATGAACAACAGTGGCATATATATGTTTTGTGGAAAGGGGGGGCCAAGACAGTATTTGATTTCCATCCACTTAAATGTAAATTTTTTGTAATGATCATGTTACATGCACAAATATCCTTTGATAATTTATAATATTTAGAATTAGTTACTGAATATTACTAAAGTCACCATGAACTGGTTGCTTTGGGTTGAATAAGTTGGTTTTTGTTTGTTTAAGCTTCCAATAATTTTCCATATTCTGTGTTTTGCACAACCATTTGGGTTAAAGTTTGTCTTTCTTTTTTTTCTTTAACATCAGTGTCTCTAACTACCCAATTTATATACAGTGCACAAGGATAATTGAGAAAGGTTGTAAAAAAATTATCGCTGAAGTGAATTATCACTAAATGAGGGATATCTGTACATAAAAACACAACAAAAAGACAATAAATATTGTAAAAAAAATAGCTTTGCATTACTTAAACAGCTCCTTCCCTTATCATAATCATCCTGTGGGTTATGCCAGTATGTCATCTAGACAGGCAGGCACTGGACTGGCTGTGACTGCACTATGTAAACAAAACACTGGGAATTAAATACCACATCTGGGGTCGAGTGTGGGATTTTATATTTCTCTCTCACCAAGTGTGAGCTCTTTTAAGACCAGACTTGACAAGCACTGGAGCAGGTTCAGATACATTCAGGAGCCGGTGCATGCCCAGTATTTTCCAACAGTGCATAACAGAGACATGACCGATTGCCCAAGCGGCTAACGAGCCGATCAGTGGTGAAGAGGATAAAGTAAAAAGTAAAAAAGTATTAACCAGGTACCAAATGAACCTAAATATGGGAATTGTGGTGAAATTGCATTATGTTGTATTATTAATGAGGTCAGAGCAGTGATGAGGGCTGAGAAGGGGGGGGGGGTTGCTCAGTTCACTACCTGTATTATATTTTCTTTATTTCTAAGTCACATTAGAGCATTGAAATGATATTTATATTATATTTTCTATGTTTCTTAGGCAAATTAGAGCAATTACACTACTGTACATTGTTATTTCCACAACACCTTTCAGGGTTTCTTATGTAAATAAACACTGCGGCAGCCAGCGCTCAGCTGTGAATTAAGAATATTTGACTGAAAAAAAAGTAATACAGAATACAGTTGGTGCCTGAGAATATAAGAACAGGGAATTTGTATTTTGCAAATTATCGTGACTTCACTGTATTCTCATCAGCCTTCTCATTATACAGAGGATGTGAACAGTCATCCATTTTATAACTTTAATATTGCCTACCATAAACAAATGTTTCTTGGCCATAAGTATATTATCACTAGTTTAAATTATACCTAATTGTTTCATATATATATTTCCTTGGAACTGACTTCATAATTTTTTCTTAATTCTTTTTGTTAAATACATACATCAGTGACGATTTCCGACGCACAAACCTTAATGTGATAATGGAAAATACATTTTCGAGGCACCCAATATGATAAATGTACCGAAAGTAGCTTTTGAGAAAAAGTTTTAAATTTGTCATATACTGTATAGTACAGTACTGTACAGGTACATAATATTACCACTATATAGTACAGTATACTGTATAATGTTACCACTAACACTTATTGTACATAAAACACTTGAAATATTTACTTTTAAAATTTCTAAAATTATTATGTTTATTAATAACATTAAAATTCACTGTCAAATATCATACAGAATGTTACAAACTGGTTTACATGTTAACTAATAATTAAAGCAACTGCCTACTGCCTGTCTTGGGAGGGTGAGTTATCACAGA